TTGTTGAGGCGCCGCTAGGGACTCCCCCATCCCCCTTAGCTGTGTAAGTGGTGCTAGGGGCCTCTTCTAGTTTATGTGAAGTGGGGCTAGGGACTCTCTGAGTTGGGTAATTGGTGCCAATGGCCCTTTTGGGCTGTATTAAATGTTTCTAGGGATCTAATTTGCTCTGTTTTGGTGTTAGGGCCCCTTGAGTCTGGGAGGCAGTGCAGGAACCCTTGGCCTATGTTGTGGTGGTGCTTGTGGTCCCTCAGCTGTCTGAGGATTTTTTAGGGACCCCTTATCTTGTGAGGCACTGCTAGGGACCCTCTTAGCTGTGTTCCCTTACAGGCTGTGTCAAGTTCTGCTAGGGACCTACTGTGTGGAGGTGCTAAGCCCTCCCAAGCTGGTTGGAGTATGTTAGGAGCCTTTGAGCTTTGTGAGGCACTGCTAAGTCCCCCGTTAGCTGTGTAAGTGGTGCTCGGGACCCTTTTAGGTAGTGTGTAAAGGTGTTATGAACCCCTCTGTATGGTGGTGCTAGGGACCCTGAGTTAGGGAACTGATGCTAGCGACCCCTTGGCTGTGTGTGCTGGTTCCTGGGTTTCTTGGGATATTTCAGGTTGTGCTAGAGGTCCCCTGTGCTTCTGAGGTGCAGCTAGAGACCCCTTTAGTTTGTAAATGGTGCTGTTGGGCCCTTCCAGGCTATGTAAAGTGGTGCTACGGACCCTCTGAGTTGGCAGGTGGTGCTTGGCGCCCATATCCGCTGTGTGAAGTGGGGCTGGGGACCTACTGATCTGTATGAGGTAGTGCTAAGGCCTACCTAAGTGTTGGTGTGAAATGGTGCTAGGGACCCTATGTGTTTTGAAAGTGGTGCTAGGGGCCCATATAGACTATGTGAACAGTGGTGGGGACCTTCTTTGTTCTTTATGGTGATAGGGCCCCTGAACTCTGGGAAGTGGTGCTAGGGACTCCTTGCTGTGTGGTGATTCTAGGGTCCCTTGAGTGTGACTTCGTGCTTGGCACCAATGGGCCATATCAGGTGGTTTTAGGTTCCCCTGAAGTTGGAGGTCCTGCTAGGGACCCTCTGAATTGTGTAAGGGGTGCTTTTCATCTTTTGTAGGCTGTGTGTAGTGGTGCTAGGGACCACATTTGCTTTGTATGGTGGGTAGGTTCTTCTGCATTCTGGGAAGTGCTGCTAGGGCACCCTGAGCTGTTTGAGATTTTGCCTGTGAGTTATGGATGCATTGCTAGCAGCCCTTATAGGCTGGGTGAAGTGGCTGTAGGGACCTCATTTTCTCGTAGGTGTGTAAGTGGTGCTTGTCCTCTTGTAATTTTTATGAAGTGTGGTGGCAGAGGACCTGGGCTGTCCTTCCCCGGGTCACCAACTGCCCAGAAGACTGGCTGTCACGCCCACAATTTGCCTCTGGACACCATCTTAGCGCACCAACAGATCTGGCCCAGAAGTTCCCAGTTGAATCCCATAATGGATTAGTGCCATATAGAGATGTCTCTGGAACCCAACCATTTACAGTCTAGAAATTTACATTACAATCGCGCCCGCGTGAGCTCTCATAATATTCTAAATGAGCTATGGAAAATATATCTAGTGTCTGCCCCTTGCGTGTAGGCTTGAATGGTGGTGGGAAATTTTGAGCAAAATTAATGCCCCAAATTAGTGAGAGAGTATTGGGGAAATTGTCTGCCATAGAGGCAGGGTGAGGACTGTGATGTGTATGCATGTTGGGGGGGCGGGTAATACTTGGGACAGTGGTGGTAGAAAATGTGCACTGGTGGAGGGATGTGTGTTTCATCATTGTATGACTGAATCTCCAACATGAAAACTTTGTAACTCTATCTCACGGTGATACAGTAAAATAAAAAAGTAATGTGGAGTTCATACCCAATTTAATCAGCTTAATCAATGACTGAACAAATAGCAGTAATCCTACATTATTTAAAAAAAAATTTTTTTTTATGAAGTGGTTTTAGAGACCCTCTGAGTTGTTAAGTGCTGCTAGGGGCCCTTTTAGGCTGTGTGAAATGGTGCTAGGAACCGCATTTGCTCTGTATTTTGGTGGTATTTCTGTATTTCTCGAGTCTAGGAGGTAGTGCAGGGACCCCTGGCCTGTGTGTGTTGGTGCTAGTGCCGCCTGAGTTGTTTGAGGTTGTCCTAGGGACCCCCTGAGCTTATGAGGCGCTGCTAGGGACCCTATTAACTGTGAAAGTGGTGCTTGGGGTCCATATTTGCTGTGTGAAGTGCTGCTGGGGACCTGCTGAGCTGTGTGAGGTGATACAAGGGCTCCCTGAGCTGGTTGAGGGTGTCCCAGGGACCCCTTGAGCTCTGCAGCACTGCTAGGGACCCCATTTGCTGTGGAAATGCCCTTTAGGCTATGTGAAGTGGTGCTAAGGACCCTTTTAGGCTGTGCCAAATGGTGTGAGGTACCCCGTTTGCTCTTTGGTGGTGCTGGAGCCCCCTGAGTTTGGGAAGTGGTACTAGGGAGCCCTGGGCTGTGTGTGGTGGTGCTAGGGTCTCCTGAGTTGCTGAGGTTGTGCTAAGGGACCTCTTGTGCTTCTGAGGCGCTCCTAAGGAACCCATTAGCTGTGTAAGTGGTGCTGGGGCCCCTTCTAGGCTATGTGAAGTGCTGCAAGGGACCCTGTGAAGTGGTGTTAGGACCCTGAGTTAGGTGGTGCCACTATGGCCCACTGAGCTGTATGAGGCGTGTTGGGCCCCTTGAGCTGGTTGTCGGTGTGCTACGGATCCCATGAGCCCTGTGAGACACTGCTAGGTACCCCCTTAGCTATGTACAGGTGCTAGGGAACCTCTCACTGTGGAAGTCTTGTTAGGAGCCTTTTTGTGCTGTTTAAAATGTGCCAGGGACCCCATTTGCTCTCTGGTGGTTCTAGGTCCCCCTAGTTTGGCCAGTGGTGCTAGGGTCCCGTGAGCATTGTCAGGTGGTGCTATGACCCCCTTATCTGTGTGGTGATCTTGTGCCCCTGAGTTGTGTGTGGTGTTCTAAGGCCCCGTTGGCCATGGCTTGTGTCCCCTGAGCTGTGTGGGATATGGATTCCTGGGTTTTATGTGGTGGTACTAGGGACCCCTGACTTTTTTGTGAGATCTTGATAGAGACCCTGAGCTGTGTGTGCTGATGCTGTGGCTCCATAAGGTGTTTGTAGGGACCCTCTGAGCTATGTGAGTGTTTTTGGGGACCCTCTGAGTTGTGTCAGTGGTGGTAGGGACCCCTTCTACATTGTGTGAAGTGATGATGTGGAAACCCTGAGCTCTTAGGACCCCTGAGCTGTGTGACGTGGTGCTAGGGAGTCTTTGAGCTGTTAGTGGTTCCAGGGACCCCTTATAGACAGTGTGATGTGGTGTTAGATATCCCCTGGACTATTTGAAGTGGTGCCTGGGGTTCCCTAGTTGTGTGAGGTAGTGCTGGGGTCCCACTGGGCTGTGTGATGTGGTTCTGGCAACCCACTAGGCTATGTCAGGTCTTGCTATGCTCCCTTTGGGCTGTGTGAGGTTGTGCTAGTGCGAGGGTGATCGGGACCTCTGAGTAGTGTTTGGTGTCCTAGGGACCACCTAGGCTGTGTAATACTTGGGGCCCCAAGGGCTATGAGGTGGTGCCAAGGACTCCCTCAAATTTGGGGCAATGCCAAGGACTCCTTCCCAGTTGCCGGATGCTTTCCACCTTCCCTGTTCCTGCCTGCAGTGTGGCTCGCCTATCCCTGTCCCAAATTATTCTTTGATTGGATTCCTTTCTTGTTGGCCATTTTTCTCCTTTTTTTTTTTTTTTTCCTTTTTGGGCCAGACTCAGCAATGCAGCAGTGTACAGGAGTTTATTGAGCCAGGAGGGGTTCACTCCTGGCTCATGCACTCAGGAATTACTCCTGGCGGTGCTTGGGGAACCATATGGGATGGTGGGAATCGAACCTGGGTCGGCCGCGTGCAAGGTAAATGCCCTACCCGCTGTGCTATCACTCCAGCCCCATTTTTTCTCCTTTTTTAAAAATGATTTTTTGTTTGTTAATTCCTTGTTTTCTTCTTTTTCTTGATTATTGTTTTCCTTCCAGTGGCTTTGATCGGGGAGAAATTATGTTCTTAGTGACTAAACTGTTGTCTGTCTGGTTATGATGGGAAGAGTTTTTACTTGTAGAACAGGTATCACTGGCTTAGATTATATTTGCTGATTTTGTATGTTTTTCTCTATAATCAGGTGACGATTATTTTCTGACATCTTTTTTCCTTGTTTTGATTGAGGGGGGCATACTCGGGTGCTTAGGGAGTTGGTGCCAGTAGTGCTCAGGGGACTGAACCCCGGGGCTTCAACCCACAGCTCCCTCTGCAAACTCCCACAAGCAGAGCATGTGCTCCAGCCCTTTGGCCACTTCCTGCCTGGCTTATTATTTCCTGGCTTTTAAATATAAGTTTTGAAAGTATAGTTTTACGATTTCTTATTTTACATGAGTACTTAGGGCTTAACTCCTGGCTCTGTGCTGAGGGATCACTCCTGGTGGGCTCAGGAGACCATCTGGGGTGCTGGGAATCGAACTTGGGTTGCAATTCAAGCAAGACAAGCCCAATTAATTTAAATTTTAAAGTTGTGTGCTATACCTCAGGAGGGGTTTGGTTTGTTTGGGGGCCACATCAGTAGTGCTTAGAGGCTTCTGGCTCTGTGCTCAGAGGTCACTCTTCTCTGATACTTGGGGGTCACTCCTGGCAGTACTCGGGAGACCATGTGGTACCACAAGTCATAACCCATGCCTCCAGCATGCAGAGCCCACCCCCAGCCCATTGATTACCTCAGCCCTAAACCACATTTAAATTCTGTTTGTTTTGGGCCACATTCCAAAGTACTTAGGGCTTAACTCCTGACTGCGATTAGGGATCACTTCTGGTGAACTCAGGAGACCATCTGGGGTGCTGGCAATCGAACTTGGGTTGACCACATGTGAGACAAGTCCACTACCCACTACACTGTTCCTCCAGCCCCTCAAAAGCTTTTTCTTTCTTGATCTTTTTTTAGCCAGATCATTTGCAAAAGCAGCAATTGAGAAACAGAAAGCAGCGTTTATTCGTTGGGGAATAATGGCAGACTGGAATAATTGCTACTATACATTTGATGGAAAATATGAGGCCAAACAGTTAAGGACTTTCTACCAACTGTATAAGAAGGTGATGAATTTTTCCCCCCTTTGAGTGTGGTAATAATGTGCTAGAATATTTCAGCTTTTAAATGTACATTTTTTTCCCTTTTAGGGCTTGATTTATCGATCTTATAAGCCTGTGTTTTGGTCTCCTTCATCAAGGTATTTGTATATTCTTGGCAGTTAGAGCAGAGAATTTTGAGAGCCCTTCACATATTCACATGTAATATCTTTTCAACTCCAGGACTGCCTTGGCTGAAGCCGAACTCGAGTATAATCCTGAGCACATCAGCCGATCGGTGTACGTCAGGTTCCCTCTGCTGAAACCTGCCCCTAAACTGGAATCTCTTATGGGTAGGGTTTCTTTGTTGAGTTTATGAAAATGGCAGAAGTACTTACTGATACATTTGCACTTACTGATGCATTTGAAATTTGATTTTCACATACTTACTGATACATTTGTACTTACTGATGCATTTGAAATTTGATTTTCACAGATAGTGCATCTTCTATTAGTTTCTTAATTTGGACCACCCAGCCTTGGACAATTCCAGCCAATAAAGCTGTTTGTTACAAGCCGGAATCAAAGTAGGTTTATTGGTACATTGGATGTGGTGGTGGAGGGGTTGGGGTGGGGGATAGTTTTAGTCCAGGCCCATTGCTGGTTAGGGGCTATTCCTGGCTCTGTTCTCAGGAGTAAACGCTGCTGGTGCTTGGGGGGCCATGTGTAGTGTTGGCATTAAACTTGGGTTGCCTCACGCAGGCAAGTGCCTTTCCTCCTGTACTGTCTCTAAAGCCCACTATTAATGAATTGTTTTTTGTGCAAACAAGACTCATTCTCTCATTATCATTATTGTGAATTAATTTTATCCTTACTTCTCTCTTGAAACTTTTTAATAAACTTTTTAATAAACATTTTATTATGTAGATGTAATTCAGCTTCAGATGATTTCATTTAAGACATAAGGTTTCAGTTTTTAAATTGTGAGGGGTTAGAAGAGTACCTTTTTTTTTTTTCCACATCTGGCAGTGCTCAAAAGGCTTGCTCCGGAACTGTGCTCAGGGATATCCCTGATGGTGCTCAGGAGACCTTTTGAGGTATTGGAAATCGAACCCTGTTTGCAAGGCAAACGCCCAACTCGCTGTACTATCACTCTGGCCCTCCAAAGTAGTGCCTTTTTTTTTTTTTCTTTTTGGGTCACACCCGGCGATGCACAGGGGTTACTCCTGGCTCTGCACTCAGGAATCACTCCTGGCGGTGCTCAGGGGACCATATGGGATGCTGGGAATCAAACCTGGGTCGGCCGCGTGCAAGGCAGACGCCCTACCCGCTGTGCTATTGCTCCAGCCCCAGTAGTGCCTTTTTGAAGTTAGTTTTTCTAAAAATTGTGTGAAACAATAAAATATCTGTAACTTTTCTAAATTCTTCGCGATTTTCTTTTCAAATTTTGTTTTAGCTATGCTGTGGTGAAATGTTCCAAATCTGGTGACTTCTACATACTGGCTGAAGATAAAATATCTGCTGTTGCTTCCTCTTTGGAAACCACAATGGAGGTTATCTCAACATTTCCAGGTGAGGAGCAGGGACTGTTCCGACAGGCAGAGCCGCAGGGTGCCTCACTCAGGGCCTGGCTCTGCCCGAGGCTGCTTCCGGCCACCAGGCTGCCTGTGGCTCATCAGTAGAGCAGGAATGTGGCTCTGGGCCTGACTCCCAGCATCACCACGAACAAACAGAACAGATCAAAAAAGAATTGTCAGTAAGCAATATTTTGGGACTTATGAAGGGAAGTCTTGTTTTGCTTTTTGCATCACATCATGGTAAGGGTGCGATGTAGCACTGTAGCACTGTCCTCCTGTTGCTCATCGATTGATTTGCTTGAGCGGGCCCAGTAACGTCTCCATTGTGACACCTATTGTTACTGTGTTTGGCATATCGAATACATCACGGGGAGCTTGCCAGGCTTTGCTGTGCAAGTGAAATACTCTCAGTAGCTATGTAGCTGTAAGAAATGAGAAGTTTTCTTGGTCTCATTTGAATAGTTATAATAATTGTTAATACTTTAAAGCATTTACTTTGTGGCAGTTACTGTGCTCAAAATGCATAAAATATTCTGAGCACATGAACTATTTCTGACCTTGGCATAAACCTCAGAGATAGGAGCCATAATGGCTCAGTCTTTTACAGATCATTGAAGGTCACAGAGCAAGGTCAGGGCCCTGGAGCTAGCTCAATCCCAGCCTGCCCGAGAGCCTGTCTGGGCTTTGTCCTGGTGCTATTGTTGTGACAGGGGGCACTGCCATCTGAAGTGATTCTTTGTTGCAATTTCCTGGCTCGCAGGTGCAGACTTGGCAGGAAGCACTTGTGCTCACCCTTTGGTTCCTGACCAGGTGTCCCCTCTTCTGCCTGCGCATCATGTGACCATGACAAAGGGAACAGGACTCGTCCACACGGCCCCGGCTCATGGCATGGACGATTACAGCGTCGCAGCACAGCACGACTTGACCCTGGTACTGTTGTTCTTTCTTCCCTGTTCATTATTGCCTGTGCGGAATGAAAGTGATGCATGTGAATGTCGTCTGTATTTTCACGAGAAACTCCTGTGTGCTGAAGCTGCGTTGTGAAATGCACAGATTTATGCAGGACTTGAAAGTTCATTCACACTAATTGCTCGAGCGGGCCCAGTAACTTCTCCATTGGAGACTTTGCTGTTACTGTGTCTGGCATATCGAATACGTCACGGGGAGCTTGCCAGGCTCTGCCGTGCGGGCGAGATACTCTCGGTAGCTGGCCGGGCTCTCCGAGAGGGGCGGAGGAATCGAACTCGGGTCGGCCATGTTGGCCGCTTGCAAGGCAAATGGCCTACCTGCTGTGCTATCGCTCATTACAAAAGAGTTTTTAGAATTAGCTCAAGGTCAACACCTGTCAGACTTGAAGAGTATTGAGGGACCGGAGAGATAGTACAGGTGGTTAAAGGAAAGTGTCATGAGTGTGTGCCAGAACCACGAAAGTCCCTACTATTGTAACCACATTTAATGTCACCTGAACCACATTCAGAACAACAGGCATGTCCGAGTAATCCCAGTGGGTGTCTGACGTAGCTGCAGATCAGTAGGGACTGAGGAAGGTGTTCCTGGTCTATATTGTTCTTGTTCCACCGTAGGCATGTGCTTTGATTAACACATTTTGCCTTAGATGGTTTAAGTGTGTCAGTTCACTAGTTCTTAAAGACCAAATCAGAAGGATCCAGGTTTTCAGTGCTGTGAAAGACAGGACACTGCCCAGATGTTTTGTGTGTTTTTGCCTTTTATTGCTGTAAGATAAAATATCTTGGTGTTTATATCTTACTGGTTTAAAGTGTTTTTTTTTCCTTTTCTTTCTTTTTTAGGATTGTTTGGTGAATGAAGATGGAGCTTTCATGGATTCTGCAGGTCCTGAGCTCAAAAACAAGGGTGTCCTTACAGAGGGGACTGATGTGGGTGAGTGTTGCTTCTACTCGTGTCGTGGCCTGCCACCTCCCCACCCCACTCCACTTGCACTGACTCTGAACACTCAGGCCGTGTTTCCCTGACCACCTGGTTGCCTGGTTTGTGGAGGAGACTGGGTTTTTCCAGCTTTTTCCCATCTCTCACTGCATTGTCTGCTGGGCAGACCAGGTAGTCAGCGGGGACAGAGGCTTGAGGATGACTGGGATGGCCGCTGCAAAATGGGTCTGCAGACGAGCCCTGGGAGGAGCCCACCAAGCATGGGTCTATGCTGCCCAGTACCCAGATTCTCCCTGTACCCCATGGAAGGCTCATTGGGGGCTCACAGGGGACTCTCCTGCCCTTGGCCCTTTATGTCATATCTGGCATTCAGTGTGACTTGCCTTCTGCCTTTAGAGTCAGCAGGTCAGGGTTCAAGAATCCTGTCTCTGTCTCAGTTAAGACTCAGGCTTGATTTCATCGGTGTGTCACTCCCAGGACTGCTGGAGAAATCACAAGGAACTTGGTGGCCAATGACCAGAGAAACAGATTCTCTCATGGTTTCAGGGCTGGAAGGCTGAAATGGGCATGAGGGAGTGGAGGGCGTGTGCCCTAGGAGCTCTCCGAGACCCCCGCCTCCCTCTTCTAGCTCTGGGGGCTTCAGCTAACCCTGGCACACCTCCGCGCATAACTGCTTCTTCCCGCTCTCGCCTCGTCACGGGGCTTCCTTTGCCCTTTTGTATCTCTGTATATTTTTGTACACGGACCCTAGGCTGGATTTAGGGTTCTCTGACCCGCTTTGACCTTATCTCGATCATATTTGGTCTCATTCACAGGAATTAGTGATTAGAGTTTGAGACTGTCTTTGGGGGTGCAGAATTCAACCACCCTCCCTGGTTTCTTCTGAATTACCTGGGAACCATTTTCCAATTCATAGTATGAAAGATTTGGAATCTGAATTTTGGATGTAGAATTTTAGATAATGAGAATAGCGTCTCACTTTTTCCTTTTCCTTTTTCTTTTTTCTTTTTCTTATTTTGGCCAGGGAATTCATAGGCATAACTTTGATATCTGGTAGTGGAAATGTTTTGCTTGTTTGTTTGGATCCTTTCTGGTGGTGCTCAGGAGCTACTCCCAGCATACTCAGTGCTCGTGGAACCGGGGCCTCTTGCTTACGGAGCATGTGCTCCCACCTTTGAGTCACCTCCCCAGTCCTGGTAGTGGCTACTCTTATTCTTACCGGCTTGCTCAGGTTTTAGTGCTCCCTGGAGTTTAGAGTTGTTAGAATCTTCATTATATTTTCACATCATGTCTGATACTATTGTTGCTGGCATTTCCTCCCACTAAGTTATAAAGATGCTTCAAGCTTCAAAGAATTTGTTGAAAGAGGAGAAGTTGGTACACAGCTATCCCTATGACTGGAGGACTAAGAAACCCGTGATTATTCGTGCCAGCAAGCAGTGGTTCGTAAACATCGCAGACATTAAGAGCACTGCCAAGGTATGGACCCATCCTGCTGGCGTTGTCACGGCAGGGGAGATGCGCTTCCCCGGGGGCTTGAGGGGCGGGCTTTGGAGAACACCCAGGGGTGCTGTTCTTGGAAGTTCCTCTCGCACATGTGTGGGCTTTGCTGCCTGGAACTGTGCAGGTGGTCTCGAGTCAGGCAGAGCTGAGTTTAATGAGTTAATAAGACCTTTGAGAAGCTCAGGTTTCTCATCTGTTCAGAAAGGACGCTCTCGGCAGCCGCTCAGAGGGCGTATGCTCCCAGAAGGAGCCAGGGACCAGCAGCAGAAGGGTTAAGGTTAGCAGCCAGTATAGGTCTGGCCCCGACACACCCCCACTGGTACCACTGGGAGTGACTGCCAGGCACAGAGCCAGAGTAGCCTTGAGCACTGCCGTGTCCCTGGGCCCCCAAAGGAACAGACAAAATGGTGACGGCATTCAGTCAAATTCTTAAGGCCCTGCACTTAAGGTTCAAATTGCAGTTGACTAGGCAAGGTGTTGCTTTGAGTTACCAGATGCTTTCTAGCTGGTGTTCTAAAGGCTCACCTACATTTGAGCTCGACCTGTTTGTGTATCTCAGCCTGGTTTTCCTGAGTGACAGGCTGCAGGGTTGGTTAACGTGACTAAATATACAGATCGCTTGGCACTGCACCTGGAGCTGGGTCTCTGCCATGCTGAGCACCTCTGTCGGCCTTGCCTCTGGTGTCTTCCCGGCACTGAGCAGAGCAATTCCTGTTTTCTGTTTCTTAAGTAGACGTCTGTGAGGAGGACTATATGTTTCATTTTTTATTTTTACATGTTTTGGAAACCTTTTTTGGTTTTTGGGCCACACTTGGCCACACTCGGGTTGCTCCTGGCTCTGCACTCAAGAATCACTTCTGGTGAGCTTGGGCAACCATCTCGGGTGCCAGGGATCGAACTATAGTCAGCCATGTGAAAGGCAAGCGCCCTACCCACTGTGCTATCTCTCTGGCCCCCCTGGGAAACCTCTTTTTGGTCACTTATTAAATGCTAAAATTTATAGAATATTAAAATCTGATGCTAAAGACAAGTTTGATAGTTTGATTTTTTTTTTTTTTGAGTTTTTTGGGCCACACCCAGCTATGTTCAGGCTGACCCCTGCTCTGCATTCAGGGGTCACTTCTGGTGGTACGGGTTATCAGATTTGGGTTAGCTGCATGCAAGGCCAGTGCCCTGCCTGTCACCCTTGACATCTGCTCTTGGTCTGGGTCCTTTTGACCCTGTGTCAGTGTTGCTTGATTTGCTCTGAAATCTACCAAGGAACTTTTCACTTCAGTTTCTTACGGGGCCAGGACACATGTGAATGGCCGCGAACGTCCCAAAATAAGAGCATATTAGGATAAATAAGGACAGCATACAAAATTTGTTCTGCTTTCTCTCATTGGACATGCCTTGTGGATCTGTTGCAGGAAGTCTTAAAGAAAGTGAAATTTATTCCTGGGTCCGCACAGAATGCCATGGTGGACACGCTGGACAGGAGGCCTTACTGGTGTATATCAAGGCAGAGAGTCTGGGGCGTTCCGATCCCCGTGTTCCATCATAAGACCAAAGATGAATTCTTGATCAACAGGTATGGGCCTACGTTCTTCAGCTTTTCTAGTCATGAGTGTTTTAGTCAAGATCGGGCAAACAGTGGGCTAGAAAATCCTGACATAGGTTAAGGAAAATATTTTCAAATTAAGGTCTTTTAGGGAGAACTAAAACAAAGTTTACAAAGATCCCTTCATATAATGACTTCCTTGAGGGGTGTAGGGGAAGTGTTAATTTTCTTTTTTTCCATTTGTATGGAGGGACTGTGATTCACAGTAGTGGTCGTGGTAGGCTTCCCTGCATGGAACCTTTCAGCACCACACCTGCCACCAGTGTCCACTTTCCTCCCCTGGCACCCTGGAGACCCCTCCTGCCCATGAAGACCCCTCCTGCCCACCCATCCCTCCTTGGCACCCTGGAGACCCCTCTGCCCACCCATGCCTCTCGGCACCCTGGAGACCCCTCCGCCCATCCTTCCCCCCCCCAGCACCCCGGAGACCCCTCCTGGAGGCCCCTTGCAGCACTCGTGCTGTGGCCTCACTGCGGTGCTCTGGTCCTGAGACTGACTTGCCCTCACCCTAGCACTGCTGCAGACACAGTTAGCCTCTCAGGGTTTGGGGGGCCTATTAGTGTGGAGTTGGACTTTGTCTTTCTTCTTTTCTTGAATTCCCCTTCCCTTGCCCTTTTCCCCCCGTTGTCTTCTTTGGTGGGGGTGCAGGTGGGGGGGCCTTGGCCACCCTGAGGGGCCACATTCCAGGCTGTGTCCGGAAACACCCAGAGTGCCTCTGACCCATGCTCTCTCCCTACCCCGCTTTTCATTTTTGAGATGTTGGGTCGGGGTCAGACACACACAGGATGGGCTCGCGGCAGTTGCCCTGCTTTCATGATGTGTCATTCTGTGAAAAGACACTACTTGTCCGGGCTGGAGCAGTGCTTCTCGTGTGGGTGACCTGGGTTCGTCCCCGGCTCCCTGTGCTTCCTCTGTACTGCCAGACACTGAACTTAGCGTCTCCCCTGTGTGCCAGGGTGTGCCCCATCATCACCACCACAGACAGAAGTGATGCCTTTCCATGTCAGCACAGCAGGGTTTCCCAGATGCTGCTGCTGAATGCCCATATTTTTACCATTTTAAGATGGTGGGAAGGTGCCTCTGCCCTTCCTCACCTGCAGTTCCCTGATAGGAATTCTCAGCATCCTCCCGTGACAGTGCCTCTCCAGCGTGAAGGCCGCGCTGTTTCCCACTTGGTGCTGCTCGGGCTCTGCCTTAGCTGACACTAAACCATTGGTCACCCCACGAGCGTGAGCGGGACCTTGGAGATAGATGGCTGGGTGTGATGAGTAGAGGCGTCAGCGGGGGACACAGAGCCTGTGGGCGGGCAGGATGGGGTGGGACGGGGGGAAAGGGACAGGGCCTGCGCGGACAGTGAGAGATTGGAAAGGGCGAGGTGTGGGGACTCATGGCTACCCATGAGGCTGAGTAGTGGCTGGCGGCCAGAGACCAGGCCATTTCAGTGGTAGTTTCCCGGAGACCTAAAACTCTTGAGCCTCACTGTTTGTGTGTTCTTATAATTTAGAGTTTGGTTAGAGGTTTGCTGCTCCAACCTTAATATCTCTGTGTGGTGTATTATAGCTAAGATCAGTTTGTACAAGTTGTACAAAGTTTGTACAGAGGTCCACACTAAAAATTTCTTTCAAGGAAATGTGTAAGCCACTACCATTGTTTCTCATTCTTTTTACTGTTTAGCAAAAAAGGTATTTAGGTAATTTTGTTCAAGTGATTGAAGTGGACCAAATGCTGTATATTTGCAAACAGAACAGACTGGTCCATTTCCCCCTGAATCATGACAGTGGAATGGTAGAACAGTTGATGAATGAGCAGGCACAGTGAAATGAGCGTTCAGAGAAACACATGCAGTTTTTCCTAAGGTATCGGTTTTGTTTATTTACGGCCAGTACAGTTTTGTGGCTGTTACGCGAAGCTGTGGATCTCGAGGTGCCAGTGGGCCACAGAATTTGGCCTATGGAAGTGACAGGCAGGTGGACCCACTGTCTGTCAGTTCATAGGTCATGCTCCTGAGTCCCGCGCCTCCCGCTTCGGCCGGGGGAAGGCGGCCAGCATCTGCACGACTCAGGTTCAAACCCAGCGCTGCGGCTGTCGGTGTCCTCCTCTCTCTGGCCACTTCTCGCGTTGCTGTCCGGCTCTGGCTCTGGGTTGGTAGTGAGTTGGAAGCCTCCGAGAGTAACAGCGTCTCCACTGGGCTCGGACACGGTCCACATGGAGTTGCTGTTACACTCGGCCACCCCAGGGCTCCCCAGGCCGCTGCTCTCGTGCGAAGCTGTGTCAAGTAGGCATGTCTCACGGGAACTAACCCTGACATACACAGCAGGCGTTTCCTGTCTGACAGGAACATCACTGAGGGGCAGGGGTGCCATTGTGACTGCAGAGACAGTCTGGCCTTGAGAAAGACAGGTACTGTTTTTGACATAAAATAAAATCCAGAAACATTTGCTAGCTCAGAAGGAAGCTATAAGATTGTAGATGGTTGCCATCAGTTTGATAGTGTTTGCACGTCAGAGAACACTTGCTTTGAGAAAACAATTCCAGACCTCTGGAAATTTCCTCAGGGGGCAAGGAATTTTTCATTTTAGTGTTACCTTTAGCAAGTTTTGTATGTCAATGTTAACATAACCTTCTTGGTGGAGAAGGTTGCTAATATTCATCAAAGAAGAAAATTTTCTCCAAAATGACTTCTGCTCACCTCTAAAATAGAAGTCTCAGAGTGAATCAAGGACAGAATCCCTACCACCAAATTGCATTATTTCAGAATTTAATAAACTCTTACCTCATTTTCATTCCAGGAACACACGGGAGGAAATTAGTCTTAAAGTCTCTTCCTCGTCTTACTTACCACGCGTTGCTGGTGCTTGAGCACAGGAAGCCTGAGGGCAGCAGCTGCAGCTTCTCTCCCCGATCCTAATGCGCTGTTTTCCAGAAACTCCCTTAATAAACCCTTGGCCCAGTTGATAGGGAGGTTGATAATGATTGGCTGGTGTGATCGGCTCCTGCTCCCAGGAAGTCTTCCCTGATTGAAACCTCGGGAGAGACACAGAATGCGTGTGGTCAGATAAGAGACTGCATAAAGTACAGAGTTTTATGGTGGACTTATTGCTTTATGGGATCCGCCATTAAAGTGGAAGCATTGAGATTAGGTGGTGATAAGTGGTTTCACCCACTTTTATCAACTGTCATTTACTCTGATTTTTAGGTTAGAAAGCATGTGCTTATGTTGCACATTGGATATTAAAAAAGTCTCAGTTCCTTGTGAAATAAATAATCTACACTCTGAAATTCTGATGTGTTTAGATTCGGAGAGGGTGTCTTTGTCTGATTTCTTGGTTTCTTGGGGGCTGTTCCCCGCAGAGAGCACTTGGGCTGCTGCCCGCTCCGGGAACCCCAGTCTGCTCTGCCTTTGGAGTTGGCCTCATTTATCCTACATGTTGTTCAGTTGTTATCTTCTTACCCCAGAGTTGTCTTTAGTTTAATTTCTGCCAGGAACAACCCTGGAGCACCACCAGGTTCTACACCAGTGTTCTTTTCTTGGTGTCACCCAAACACCAAAAAAAAAAAAAAACCAAAAAACCATTTTACACAGGTGTAGCATACATAAACATACACATGCTGGGAACCATCTCAAAGTAGATCTGAATTACAGCAGTCTTCTGTTTATAAGTAGTGTAGTTGTATTTGTGATACAAAGTAAAGAAACATGAATAGAGCTCCACCTGTCTTTTTTATAAGATGCTGCAATTGGAGCATACATTGTAAACAACTTTTGCTTGTCCAGATTTGTGTGTGTGTGTGTGTGTGTGTGTGTGTGTGTGTGTATGTGTGTGTATATATATATATAACAAGGAAGTACTGGTCTTAAGTGTTAATTATGCATTTTTTGAAATTCCAGTAGAGAATTACCACAGTGTTGTTTTTATTAGTATTAACTCTATTCTGTAGTGCTCTCTTTCTTTCTCTTTCTCTCTCCCTCCCTCAGCCTCCCCTCCCCCTCACCCCCCAGAGTGCTTTTTCTCAACGTGTTCTGAGAAGTCTAGTTCATGTTGTGCCTTCGACTGCTTTTCATCTTGATCTGATTATCTACATTAGTGTAACATCTGAATACGTGTGTTCACGTGCGTTCCTTTCCCCTTTTGCTCTGCTGGGCCTCAAACTCATACCCTCACACATGCAAGACCTGTGCTGTGCCTCTAGGCTACATGTCTCCCTGCCAGTTTTTGCTTCTTAGTATGTTTCTTTCCGGATACATTTAGAACTGGCTCAGTTTTATTTTACTCTTCACCTAAGTTGCTTTGTAAAAAAGGAAAGTGCAAGTTAGCATTTATAATTTAGAATCACCTCTTCATAACTCTTGAGATTTTTATAATTGATATGAATTTCTTATCCTTCTGGCAGTGTTTATGCATGAATGTACTTGGCCAGTGTCTCTTTATATTCCTTTTAGAGGAATAGCATTAGGTTTATTCAGATTTTTTTTTTATTGCCTATATTCCTATTCTCTTAACAGATAAAATGTTCACTGGAAACTAAATAAAACAGTAATATGTAACTAAATATTGCCACATTAACTAGGTATATATTGCACAAAATTTTTATGGTCTCATATCACAAGTTTATCGTTATTGCTAAAGTCCACTTAAAATATGACTAAAATATGGACTGGTGCCCATTTTAGCATTCTTACTATTTTCAGCTTCATTAAATAGATCCTTTGTCATGTTACACTTTTTCATTCGGTTATTCAAGGCATACCAGTTTTCTTTTCTTTCTTTGAGTTTGAAATTTCAGTTGTGGAACCGGTCTAATTTAGATCTGTTGTGTTCCACTTCCCACAACAGCCTTCTCATCAACACTGAACTTTATCTGGGGTGATCAAACTCAGGCTAAAGCTTTCCTTACATACCTTCATCCAGAGGAATATCTTAAAGCTTACCCCGTTTCCATTGACTCCAGTGAGCTGCTTGCTCATTCTCAGTGCTTCATTAATGGACTGTGCTGGCGAGGAAGGTGATACCAGAGCTGGTTGCGTTGTTTGGGTTTGAGTCTCTGAGCATCTCTGTGGGTCTGCATTTTGGTTGTTGCTTTATAGGATTAACTGTTTAAGGGCTAGAGCGATGATTGTGCAGCGAGTAGAGCACTTGCCTTGCCTATAGCTGGCCAGGGCTCAATCTCCAGCATCCATATGGGCCCTCTAGCCCCTCCAGGAGTAATTCCTGAAGGCAGAGCCAGGAGTTACCCCTGAGCATCGTCAAGAAAGGCCGCAAAACAAAAACAGAAAACAACAGGATGTCTCAGGTTGTGGCTTAGAAGAGTGGGGGTGAGGCTGGTAGTGTTTTTTTGTTTGTCAGCTTGTTTTTTTTTTTTTTTTTTTTTTTTTTGGCCACACACACCTGGCAGTGCTCAGGGCTTACTCTTGGCTCTGCACCCAGGGATCACTCCTGGAGCATTTCAGGGGACCATTTGGGATGGCGGGGATTGAACCCAGGTCAGCTGTGTGCAAGGCATGTGCTTTTGCAACTGTTCGTGGCAGTTCTCAGCGATATGCCCCCGTGTTCTGCTTGCTGCCTGCTGATGAAGTGACACCAGGAACGGCTGCAGGGTCTTGCTGTGCCCATGGCAGTGGCTCTGGTTCTCCCTGGAGGCGACTCAGGAAGCCGGGCCATCAGGAGAGCTATGGCAGCAGAGTCAGACTGAAGGCAAATGTTTCCTGAAGTGTGTCTTGGGGAAAACGTGTTTGACAATTGTATCTTCTCAGTGTGGAATTATATCAGGGTTAGCATTTATTGGCTCGTTCTGTGTGTAGGATCCTAGGCACACAGGTCCTGGAAGGTCCGTCCCCCGTGCTGCCCCCTCTCTGACCTATGAAGGTGTTTTCCTCTAAGGACCCCTGTGGTCACTTTGCCCGCATTCTGCTGACTGACGATGATGGCACTGATGTTGGCGGGGAACACCCTGCACGTAAGGGGCACTGCCATCTCTTCTTTTGAGAAATGCTCGAATCGATCCCCATGATCACTCAGTTTGACTTTCTCTCCCTGAACAGCCAGACCGTGGAGCACGTGGCCAAGCTGGTGGAGGAGCAGGGCAGTGGCGTCTGGTGGACCCTCCCCCCTGAGCAGCTGCTGCCGCCCGATGTCTTATCGCAGGTGAGTGTCCATCTACCAGGGTTGCCCTTCTTGTGGCTGCCCCTGGGATGTTGGTGGGGTCAGTCCCTGGATGGTGAGTAGCTGCCAGGGATCCTGGTGTAGCTGGGGCGCTATGGGCCCCAGTCCCCGTGGCCAGGAGGCTCAAATGGGTGGAGCTGGGCCTGAAGACGGTATGCACCCGGCCCCCTCTTCCCCTTCCAGGGGTGCCTCCACATTCCATGGGATCTGAGCCAGCCTGACTGGTCAGCTTTCTGATCAGAACCCACGTCAGAAGGTGATTCGCAGAAAACCAGGAGTTTATGCTTCTGTTAGCCCAGGGATCATGAAGTGGCCGGTTATTCGGGGTGGGGCGGGGGCTGCACTGGGATTGAACCCAGACCCTCACCTGCACTGATGCTCACATGCTCCCATGCTCACTTTTTTAAGCGCCAAGGCAGGCAGTGGCTCAGTGGCCCTGTGAAGCCTGTCAGGTACCGAGCGCTTCTGTGGTGATGGGTGGCGGGAGGTGTTTACGCCCTCTGAATCTTCCCTCCCTACAGGCCAGTGGGCCAAATGGTCTGGAGTACGTCCCGGGCCAGGATATCTTGGACATCTGGTTCGATAGTGGGACGTCCTGGTCATACGTTCTTCCAGGTGAGTGGAGTGGGGGCTGTTTGCTCAGACACCGGGGACATGCAGCGCTGTGCCCCACCAAGGGTGGCTTGGCACATCCTACGGGGGTAGATACACTGTGCCCTGGAATCGAGTTTTCCTTTGTTTCTGCTCTGGCTTTGGGAGCCGGGCCACGACCAGGGGTAGAGGGGCTCAGGGCCACTCCTACCATTGCTGGGGAGTCATGTTTGCAGGAATCAGACTGGGAGTGTCCAGGTCGAGGGCTAAGGCGCTTGGTCTCAATCGCAGCCTGGGGCCAGACCCAGGCTTCCTGCCCAGACCCCAGGAGGAGTGTCTGCATGATGTCCTGGGAGATGACAGAGCCGCAGTTGATACCTTCAGTTGTCGTTTCCTCCTGGTCCCTCACTAACCCATGACCTTGGTTCAAGCTGCTTTGCTTGTACTCTGTGAGATGTCATCCTGCCTGGGTGTCCATTGGGCGGTGTGACAGGAAGGACTCGGCAGGACCTGGCTCCCCTTAAGGAGACATTCTCTTCCAAGTTTGGTTTTGTGTATCAGCCCTGCTGGAAATTCCAGGGTTAACTTCTGGAGTTAGTCACTGGAATTTTTTTAGGGAATGAAAGCAATAGTTTCTTCTCCTTCTCTGGGAGTGTCCCTCGTGATTGACCCCTAATCTAGCCCAGTGCTATCTGTGAGTGGCCTGGAGTCCTAATCTAGCCCAGAGTTATCTGGGTGGCCAAGCTCACTCCAGAGTTTGGATTTAATCAGATGTTACAGTCTTTCCTACCCTGCGTTTACAGCCATGCAGTTCCAGCGTTTACAGCCATGCAGTTCCAGAGTCCAGCTTCCCTGGGGGGGGGGGGGGGTGTGTCTGGGCCACACCCGCCCTTGGAGGATAGGGGCTTGTTCCCTTATCGGGATTATAAGCTGCCAGGGAGCGTGCTAGTGCTGGGAATGGGAACACCCTTCCCATAGCAGATGCCCACTCCCCGTCATCTTCCTAGTCAGTTCACTGCATTTTTCTGGTTTCCTTGTATTTGATTTTTTTCTTTAAGGAACTGAACAAAGAGCAGATTTGTACTTGGAAGGAAAAGACCAGCTTGGGGGCTGGTTCCAGTCCTCCCTAATGACCAGTGTGGCTGCCAGGAAACAAGCTCCTTTCAAGTGAGTTTCACACCAAGTTGGAAAAACAGTCAGCACTGAGTACCCCACCGAGTACTGGCCAGCTCTGCATACCCTGTTGAGTATTGGCCAGCTCAGTACCCCACTGAATACTGGCCGGCTCTGAGTACCCTGCTGAATATTGGTCAGCCTGAATACTTATGCTGAGTACTAATGAGCTCTGAATACCTCTGACTAGCTCTGAATAACTGCCGAACACTGACCAGCTCTGAGTACTCCCACTGAGTACTTGCTGACACAGTGCTGAGTCTCTCTGCCCCTTTTGTAGTTTCCAGGAGAGAGAGAGAGAGAGAGGGAACAACTGTCCAGAGAGACCCATTGCTCTGACTAGTCCCTCCCTCCCATATGAGAGGGATGCAGTGGAGAGTGGGGGTCTGCAGAGAGAGACCCTCATAGAAGTGTCGGGAGCTCGACCAGCTGCTGTTTGTGATGTCTGCAGGTTACAGATGAATAAATATGCCCCTTTGTGAATTTTGTTGAACTGGGGATGTTGAGAGTTGGAGTGATAGTCCAGCCGGTAGGGCAATTTTGCCTTGCATGTGCCCAGCCCAGGTTTGATCCTCAGCATACATATGGTCCTCGTGCCCCACCAGGAGTGAGCCCTGAGCACAGCTAGGTAGCACTGTAGCACTGTCCTCCCATTGTTCATCGATTTCCTCCAGCGGGCACCAGTAACGTCTCCATTGTGAGACTTGTTATTACTGTTTTTGGCATATCGAATACGCCACGGGGAGCTTGCCAGGCTCCATCCTGCAGACGGGATATTCTTGGTAGCTTGCTGGGCTCTCCGAGAGGGATGGAGGAGTCGAACCCAGGTCAGCTGAGTGCAAGGCAAACGCCCTACCCGCAGTGCTGTCGCTTCAGCCAGGTATGGCCCAAAAGCCAAAAAAGAAAGTTCTAATCAGATTCTTAAAAAAAAAAAAAAACAAAAAACCAAGATTCTTGCTGTTTATCATCTACATGTTAATGTATTTGTTAATGTATTTTATGTAACATATTTGGAGGGATTCGGGCATCACTGGGAGAGAGGGGCTGGGGGCCCCTCCCTGTGGTACTTGGGTCTGCTGGACCGAGCTTCAGTGCTGGCCAGCAGTTGCTGTCTGGGGGACCCGCCCAGTGCTGGGGCCGGCTCCCCGCCAGCTGACAGACTTTGTCATTATTATTATTTTGGATTTTGGGCCACACCTGGAGATGCTCAGGGCTCTGAACTCAGGAATTACTCCTGATGGGTTCAGGGGACCATATGGGATGCCAGGGATTGGACCCAAGTCTGCTGCGTGCAAGGCAAACACTCTCCCGGCTGTCCTGTTGGGGTGCTAAGTAACAGACTCCCTAAAATTGTTTATTTTCGGCTTGGGGGCTACCCCCAGCAGCGCTCAGTGAGGAGAGATCTGACCTGAGCTGCTGAGGACTAGACTTCCAAGGAAGCTTCCCCTTGGGGGCTGTTGGGGGCAGCCTGAGAAGGCGTCTGAGAGAAGCCCTGGGCGGGACATGGCGGTGACTAGCGGCTTCTCCCTCAGGACCGTGGTGGTTCACGGCTTCACCGTGGGAGAGACAGGGGAGAAGATGTCCAAGTCCCTGGGGAACGTCATCGATCCTGCTGTTGTGATTGATGGAGGGCAGGTAGGTGCTCCCCGAGATGCCAGCTGCACAGAGACCACAGGGAAACTGATCCTGTTTGCCTTCTAGATGGTTCTGTGTGGGGCCCGTGACTTAAGTAGGGAGCAGTGGGCTTGACGTGGCCTTTGGCCTGGTTTGGGGTCTGATTCTTTGTTTAGATCCTTGATCCATGCTCCATGGCACTTAATCCAGCTGATGGCGTGTAGACGCAGTTCCTGGGAGCCTGTCAGGCAGCACGGCGGGCGCGGGGACCCCTGTGAACACGCCTTGGCCTGTACCTGGTCGGCCCGGGGGAGTCTGCTCGCAGAGGCCATGGTGCTCCTTGTTCCTCTCTGGCCTTGCTCTGCCCCTCTGGTCCCTAGTCATTTCTGCATGTGTAGGGTTGCCAGGGAGTACAGAAGGGGGCCCCCGTCACAGAGTGGGGCTCAGGGCAGTGCTGAGCTCTCCCGGGGCCAGCCTGGGCAGAGCCTCTCCTGATGGAGCTGCCTCCTCCGGCTCCGTGCGCATACCTTGACCCTTCCCTGGGGCTGACCCGTGCCGTGTCCTCACTCCTGCTCCCTGTAGGACCACAGCCGAGAGCCGCCGTACGGCGCCGATGTGCTCCGATGGTGGGTGGCCGAGTCCAACGTCTTCACCGAGGTGACGCTCAGCCAGTCGGTGCTCAGCTCTGCAAGGGACAGCATCAGCAAGGTGGGTCTACACTGCCCTGCTCCGGGCGAGAGGCCGCCGTCACCGCCTCCTCTGGGAAAGGAAGAACCTTCTTTCCCTCAAAACAGAGTTTCACATTTTCTTATTAAAAAATTGCTGCCCTTCCGTATTTTGCTAAAATAATACATAAAATACAATGCAGCCAAATTGACATGAAACTGTTGCACTTCACACATGGTTTCCGTGAAAGCCAGGACCTTGCTCTGCTCATTTTCTCCTGGAAGTGGGAGTGTGAGGTGGCTGCTGATTTGCCTGGAAGCTGCAGATATCTGATGGAAATTCCCTTCCCATGTAATGTCGACGGGCGGAGGGGCGTGTTCTCCATTGGCTACTGGAATGAGTTGATTTGTTCAGATTCATATTCTTGATTAGGAAAGATATTTCACAAATAGGTCTCCCACAAAGAATGTAACACAGGGACTGGAGAGATAGCACAGTGGGCGGGGTGTTCCCTTGCGCATGGCCAACCCAGGTTCAATCCCTGGTACCCCATATGGTTCCCTGAGCACTATGAGGAGTAATTCGAGCTTAGAGCCAGGAGCACCCCTCGAGCATCACCGCGTGTGACAAAAAACGAATCGAAGGAAAGTAATGTGGATTATCTAAAACTTAAGTCTAGGAAATAAGGAAACTTTTAAGTGAAAGCCACAGCCTCATTTGTCTCTGAATGTATGCCATATTTTCCTCTTCAATAGCTGAGGAATACACTCCGCTTCCTTCTGGGGAACGTGGCTGATTTCAACCCGGAAGTGGACTCAGTCCCCGTGAAGGACATGTATGTCGTGGACCAGTACATGCTGCACTTGCTGCAGGACCTGGCCAACAAGGTGAGGCCAGCACAGCCCTGGCCAGCAGCTGCACCACGGGCTGCTGCACGGTGCGAGGCACGAGCGGCACGGCCGGCGTGAGAGACTGGCTGGCCTTGTCCTTGGGGGTCGGGGGCCTCCAGCCCAGGACTGCGTTTGATCCCAAAGGAGCGGCGGACTGCTGCTGCTCTTTCCTCTCGGGCGCTTCCGTCCCTCCGGCAGGAAGGGATAGAGGTGTGCCTGGTGTCTGCAGGTGCAGGGCCGTTTATAGAGGGGCCAGGCTGGAGGCCGAGCACCACGGGTCACCTGAGCACTCCCTCCTGAGCACTGCCGCGGGGCCCGAGCCTCAGGAGACTAAGAATGGGGGCGGGGGGTGGCATGTCCCCTTCGTGAGCTCCGCCTGCACCTGCAAAGTACTGAAATGACCATTCTGAGTCTTGGAAGATACATAGATCTTGTGTCTTGTACTTAGACTTGTGTGTCAGTAACAAGCAGTTGGCAACATTAGAGTTGTGGTTGCTTTCAGGAACCGGGAGGGTATGTGCACACACCAGCCTGTCCTGTGCTGTGCGTTCTGTGGTCTCCAGAATCAAACTCTGTGATTGGAGGAACCTGTGAACCTGAGGCACCTTGGGAAGAGCCTCAGAACTCTGGCTCAGGTCCCGACTGGTGGTTTCGACCTTCAGGGCAGGCTTTACGGGACGTGCTTTGCATCGGATGTTGGCTTATCCCAGCTTCAATTTGGCCCTGTCTCCTAGATCTCAGACTCCTATAAGCAGTATGATTTCGGGAAAGTCGTTCGGCTCTTACAGGCGTTTTATACCAGAGAACTTTCTCAGTTTTATTTCAGCATCATCAAAGATCGGTACGTAGAGCCAATGTTGAAATGCTCTGACCTTCTGGCATGTCGGGCTGGGTGGTCATTGGAGCCTGGTCAGCAGCGCAGAGCCAAGAGTGGGTGCCGGCCAAGGTGGACTGCGATGGGCAGTTTTACTTCACCACTTTCTCACTGACAGGGCAGAGCACCCTAAAGTCTCCATTTCTTTATCCTGGTTTCTTTATAATGGTGCTGATTCACCTGTCCTGTGTGTGTGAAGTGGTCATGAGAAGGAAAGAGAATAGAGGCCAGTGCTGAACTGTCCCTGCAGCACAGTGCCAGGTTGAACCCTGGCCTTCTTGTGACACAGTGCTGGGGTTGAACCTGACCTCCCTGTGACAGAGTGCTGGGGTTGATCCCTGGCCTTTTCCCCATGAAGCTCGCACTTAGAGCATTAAGCCGTGTCCGGAGCCCACACTGGGTTTTTGTGGTTATTTGGGGGGCAGGCATGAGTCATGCCCAGCAGAGTTCAGGCATGACTCCTGTCTCTGCACTTGGGTCACTCCTGGCAGGGCTCAGTATACCTTACGGTGTGGCAGGGATTGAACCCAAGGCCAGTGGCCGTCCTGTGCACTGTGCTCTAGCACCAGTCTATTTCATCTGCAAAAAACATGCCTGGAGGCGTCTAAGGGTATCTCAGGATACCATGTGTGCAGCCAACCCCAATTCTGTCCCTGAGCACCCCCAGGAGGGATTCCTGAGCACTGCCAGGTGTGGCCCTAAAACCAGTACAAAGATTGGAGCCTTAGGGTCAGTGTTGCCAGCTGCTGAGGCCACTGTTCCCCGCAGGCTATACTGTGAAGGTGCCAGCGACCCCAAGCGACGCTCCTGTCAGACAGCGTTGGCTGAAGTCCTGGACGTGCTGGTTCGTGCCATCGCTCCCATCCTGCCTCACCTGGCTGAAGAGGCCTTCCAGCACATTCCGTATGAGAAAGGTGAGGGACACTGACTTGCTGTCTGGGTGACAGAGAGGGTGCCCTGAGTCTGTACCCACCTGCTGACAAGCGCATATCAGGGGGATTCTCAGGCGCCTCCGAGAGGGGGCTGGGACTCTGGTCTCAGGCACTGCCACACGATGAACTTGTTTGTAGGTGCATTTCTGTTCTGCTTGTGTTAGAGGAAATTAGGAACTATAGATACCTAGAAAGAAAGAAATTCACATTGAATCTTCCTGCCTGAAGACAGGTGTGGTCAGTACCATTGTTGCCTTTGGTCTAATTTTCTTCAAGACAGCCCTTTCTTTCCTTGAGCTCATGCAAGATGTTTATCTGTTGATCAGAGTAACGGTCATTTCCAAATGAGTATTGGGCATGCTGGGGTGGGGGCGTCATGCGGTTTCATCACACCTTCCCCAGGGATGGAGACCCCCGGGCTGGAGCTTGCGTTGTTCGGAAACTCACTGAGTTGCCATTTGTCATTCAAGAGCCGAAGAGTGTGTTTCGCACCGGGTGGGTCCAGACGAGCTCCATCTGGAAGAAGCCGGGCCTGGAGGAGGCCATTGAGAGTGCCTGCGCCATGCGAGACTGCTTCCTGGGCAGCATTCCCGGCCAGAACCCCGCCGAGTATGAGCTCGTCATCGTCATTGAGCCGGGGCTGCTCTTCGAGATCTTTGAGGTGCGCTGCCCTCAGCCTCGCTCAGAATCGGTGTCTTGTTTATCTTTGGTTGTTGTTGGTGTGTGTGTATGTGTGTGCATGTGTGTGTGTGTGTGTTCACCCAGCGGTGCTCAGGGATCGCTCCTGGTGGGATTCTGGGAACAACCTGGGGTGTCGGGGATCAAAGCCATGTCAGATGCATGCAAGGCAAAAACCCCTTCCACTGTCCTCTCCCCAGCCCCTAAACACGGTGCTTTGATTGGAACTCGCTGCTCAGTGGGCAGCCAGGTGGAATATCTGCTGTGCAGGAAGGAAGCTCCAGTGAGGGGAAGTTTTCAGATTGAACCTTTCAACCTCCTGGAAATCCATCTGCTCCGCAGTTTGGCTGTACAGGCTGTGGGGCTGAGCAGTTCTTCCTGACCGGTAGAATCAGCCGCCCCATTCCATGTCCAGTTGCTGGTGCACGGAACTCAGGTCCTAGCCCTCGCTTGCTGCCCACAGATGCTGCAGAGCGAGGAAACATCCAGCACCTCGCAGCTGAATGAGCTGATGATGGCGTCGCAGACCACACTGCTCTCTCAGGAGCCAGGCCCCCTGACGGAAGACGCGATTCAGCACAAAGGGAGCTTCGTCATCAATCTGGAAGGTGAGGAAGGTTGAAGCCGTTACTCACCAGAACATTGCATCCTCATCTACAGCTTCGCGGTGGAGTTCTATGCTCTTGTCCGAAACGTGCCCGGTTCTAGGGAAGCAGGGTGACAGTGGGCACTGTTCCCGCAGGCCAGATCCTGCCGAGGATCTCCAGGATGCAGGCTGGACAGTGAACCTGGGGAGCCAGCCCGGGCCTCCCCCGCCACTGCTGAGACACTCCCTGCCCGCCCCACCCAGCAGCAGCGGGCACACCCCACAGGAGGGAGAAGGCAGAAGGCCAGTGGCTCTGGGGCACTTTGATTACAGCGCCGCACGCCCCCTAGCCCTGCTGTGGCCTCAGAGGGAAGCACTTATCCAACCAAACATCAGCCTTTTGCTTGACGGTGCTGGTGCTGGTGCTGGGACCCAGAGCCCACACGTGCCGGGCAAGCGCCTCACCTGCTGCTCGCTCCATCTTAGCAAGGGTGGGACTTGCCCCTCAGGCAGCTTTGGGCGCTCTGCTGCCCTGCCAAGGATGAGCTGTTTCTGACTCATTCCCGGGCTGGGAGTGGAAGCAGTGCCCCACTCAAGGTCCCATCACTGTGACCCCCAAACCATAGGATTTTACCCCGGGATCCCAGAGCTGTCACCATCTTTTGGCTCTCTCAAATCTGGTCAGGTAGGTCCCTGAGTTAGGTGGGGTTCACTGAGCTGCACCCAGGAAGGGAGGGAGACGGAAGCAGCGTCCAGCCTTGCGGCTACACATGAAGGAGGAAGCTCTGGGCAGGGGCGAGGCGGGGAGGGCCCGCTGGCTACTGCCGTGCTTTCCTTCCAGATATCCGGGAGGAGTCCTCCTACACCGTCTTCGTCATGCCCACCACCAAGGAGAAGTGCCCGCGCTGCTGGAAGCACACGACCCCGTCGGCGGAGCAGCTCTGCCCCCGCTGCGCCCAGGTGGTCGGGGGCGAGTAGCAGCACAGCAGCGGCCTGGGAGGGGGCAGGGACATGCCCGGTAGCGCCTTCAGAGGAGTGTTTGTGGGCAGGGAGGGTTGTGGCTTTTTCTGTAAGTAGACTGTAAAAACGTGTGTTTTTCACACATGTGAAAAGTCCCCTCTCCAGACGGGGATGGAGATACCCAGAACCCAGTGCTCAGGTGGCTGAGCCTTCCAGTATGGCGAGGCAGAAAATATTTTATACATCTTTTGACTATTTAAGTTCTACAATGTACAGAAATAAAAGGTTTTCTGGAAAATCACTGATGTGGGTGTCTAAGTTTTGAATATCTTGAGTTTTAAAATGTGGTTGCAGCAGAGGCGTGTTTGTGACAGGGCTGCCATGAAAGGTGCTTCCTGGTGGGGCTGGTGACTCGCGCGCTGGCACAGCAGCGGGGGCTTTGCTGCTGCCTAGGAGCAAGTGCCACCAACAGGGGGTCGGGGGGAGAGAGACAGCAACGCTGAAAATTAATTTTACTGATATACATAAATTCACAACAGTGAGCAGACAGAAAATAGCAGTATTTACAGAATTCCACTACTTACATTACATTACATTAGATAGAGCTTTGTATAAAGTTTAGTATTCGAGTCCCTTTTTCAGGAATGGCTGATTCTACTGAAGAAGACAGAGTTCTGAAGCCCTCTGGGTCAGAGGAGGCGTCCCTGCTGCTCTGAGGAGCCGAAACCGGCTCATAATCAGATGCGCTGCTGTCACATTTCATGTCACATTAGCTTTGCTGGTTTTGCAGCCGGTCCTGTTTTTTTTTTTTTTTAAGCAAACAATTCAATACCTTTTATTGTGACCTTAAAGGAACTTTTGAAGCTAAAGCTCTTCACCCCTCGTTTCTGCAAACTCCTGAAGCACTCGGTGGCACTGCACCCTTGTCCCTCAGCTCTTCTCACTCCGAGGGACCAGCAGTGCGGAGGTCAGGACCACCGGGCAACCCCCCTCATTGCTCTGTAGTGGGATTCATGCACAGAAGGGCACCCAGGAAAGGGCGTCCCCCCCACTCGTGGTCTGTCCAGTGCTGACGCCGTGACTGTTCCGCCTCGCGGGATGTACAGGCATTTTTTGTCCTTCCCATCAGGCTTACTCAGAAAGCCCCGACAGTATAGTACAATGGAACTGCCTGTGTGGTATTGGGGCTGAGACCCAGAGGCTCCAAGCTCTGACCGCCGTCCCCGATCTTCTGTGCTCTGTGTTTTTCTCCCCATGTGGCCTGGTGGTGCTGGGGGGACCCCAAGTGCCAGGGCCCAAACAGCAGCCTCCTGCTCCAGCCTCGCGGAGCTGCCTCCTGGCCCTCCGAGCTTTCCTTAACCATGTCGCATGGTCCTGCCTCAGAATCCTGCCCCTGGTGAGTGAGCATGACAGAATCAAAGGCCTTGCTAAACTGCCACACCAGAAGGACCAGGTTGGCTTGTTTAGGCGCACACAAACATTTTCAGAAAAGCTTGTTTATGTGCCAAGTGTTAACAGAATCCAAAGACTTGGTAAATAATTCCTAGGGCTTCGGGTTTCTCTATGGCCTCCTCACCACTATCAAAGTACCTAGGGAAACTGCAGGAGGCTCTGAGCTTGCTGAGTGCTCCCACATGTGGGCCGGGGAAGGGCAGACGGTCCTTCCACGGTGCCGGATCAGACTACGGGCTCACCAGGCTCTCCGGCCTTGAACCCGACTGCCAAGTGCGTGTGTGCACGTGATCTCAGCCAAAAGGACCAGCTGGGATCCGCCCACACTGGGCTCTCCCTCCCATCCCTGAAGGACCAAGTCCTGCCGTCCCTGCCGCAGCTGCGTCGCCCCCTGGGCCTCAGACATGCAGGATCAATACTGACCATCGGGGGAGCTTTGGGTCCCTCAGCACTGGGGGTCCCAGAGGTCACTCTGGGCATGTGGGCAACCGCTGCACCTGAGCTTCTCGACCCACATTGAGGTAGGTTTGCTAACGCTGTCCTGTCACTCAGCATCTCCATCCTGTCCCCAGAACAGACGAAGATCCCAAATCCCAGAGAGATGTCTCTAAAGACCGGTAAGAAAAATAAAGCTGGACTAAAAACCTTTAGCCTCTTTTGTTTTCAACATAAGCTTTACAAGATGATACATTTTTTACAGTTGCCTAATACGGATATGGTTTTGGATTTTTTTTTTAAAGCCAATTTTGACTTTTAACTGAAAGACTTTCACTGCTGCCGCATCTCTGCTCACTTTTATCTTTTTGTTTTGGTGCCACACTGGTGATACTCATGGGCTACTCCTGGCTCTGCACCCGGATCGATCACTCCTCGTGGGGCTCAGGGGACCATATAGGGTCCCAGGTATCAAGCCTGGGTCAGCTGCATGCAAAGCCAGCACCCTCCCTCCCTGCTTCCTGTCCCTCCGGCCCCCATCTGGTGCTCGATTTTGGCACATCCCCTGGGCCAGGGCTCTGTGCGGTGTCTGGTGGATATGGTGGTGTCCTGGACACACTATTCCTCCACAACAAGGTCCTCTGACGGTGACAGCACAAGGTGGCTGGCACTTGGGGCACCCCCACCCAGCTCACGCAGGACGGGGCTGCTGGCTCTCAGGGCTGCTGCTGGAGACGCCGTGGGGGACACACACGGTCAGTGACAGGAGCGGTTTGTTGGAGTAGGAACTACAGAATCTCGCAGAAACAGAATCTGCCGAGTCCGAGCAGTGGTGGCGCTGGAGAGTGAAACTACTGAAGCCTGTGCTGCAAACAGGAGGCAGCGGCCTCGGCCGCCAGCAGCCCGGCTCTGTCTGTTCACGTAGTGTCCTCGGGAGGAAGGAGTGGGAGGTGGGCAGGACTGCACTGAACAGCAGTCATAGCTGTGTATGTATATATATTTATAATATATAATATATATTATATATATATATAATATACACACACACACTGTATAAGTCCAAGCCACGGCCGCCACCCGCTCCTGTCGGGTCAGAGGGTGGGGAGGGAGACGGCGTCCACGGCCTCCGTGAGGTGCAGGGCCAGGCTGTACTGCCCATGCTGCTCCGGCAGCAGCTCGATGACTTTGTTCACCAGCTTCGCCGTGGTGGCAATGGGCACTTCAGTGTTCTGGAGATCCTGGGGGTCCTGCGGGAGGGACAGAGTTCAGTTCGTCAGCCACAGCCTGGCTGTGACACGACTCCCCCACCCCCTCTCCCCCTGGCCAGGGCATCCTTACCATGGCCTTGAGCCACGTGCAGAGCGTGGGCGGCAGGCGGGCCAGCAGCTCCATGCCCGCCCGCGTCTGCGAGTGCAGCAGCGCGTGTGCCAGCCTCTGGCCCGTCAGCACCAACAGCTGCGAGGCCAGCACCTCCTTGTCATGGACCTGGAGCATAGCCTGGAGAGGGACAGGGAGGGACACCCACTGAGTGCCCATGTTCCAGTGCAGTGCCCGGCCGGGACCCAGCCCAAATCGGCATCAGGATCGAAAACCCTCATTTCTGCTCAGGGCCTAATGCTTTTCCTGTCACCGAGAGTCTCAGTCAGTGTGGCGGGCTGAGGCCCTCGAGAGTCTCGGTGTGGCGGGGCTGAAGCCAGAGTCTGAGTGTGGGTGGCAGGCCCTGAGACCATGGGAAGGGGACTCTGTGAGGGGCCAGGCCCCCTCCCTCAGCCCAAGCAACTCAGTCCCTGATGGCTCCGTGGATGAGCCGCACGGGTCCATGGCCCCCAGCCTGATGTTCCTCCAGCAGTTCCCGCTGTTCTCCAGGCTGCGGCTGCTTTTTCTTTACTGAAACTGCAGTTCAGTTCACGTCTCTCGGACGACCTGACAGAGTAACTTCTGGGTTGTCCTGAGGTGTGGGTAAGTTGGGGTCACCTCTGGCAGTGCTCGGGGTACCTTGTGTGGTGCTAGGCTTGAACCTGAGTCAGTGGTGTGCAAGGCAAGTGCCCTCCCACCGTGCCGTCCCTGGCCCCTCTCTCCTTTGTTCCCGGACGCCGTTTCCTCCCCCTCGGCATTCCTCGCTCCGCATGGACAGTGAGCGCACCTGCCTGCCCTCCGGGGCTTGCCCTGCCAGTTACTATTCCACTGAGCGTCTCTGCGTCCGGACGTCTGCATGGCGGGGAAACAGGGGCGCTGCGTGCGGCCTTACCTCCTCGCCCAGCTGGTCGGCGCCGTGGCTGTACAGCTCCCCCACGTAGTGCCGCCGCACCACATCCTCATTCACTTGCAGGTGGAGGGCCAAGTCCATGGCCAGCGCTGGCCAATCTGGGTCCCTGCCGAGGGGGGCTGCGGGGGCCTCTTCAGGGGAGCTCCTGTCTCTCCTGACTGAGTGCTGGGCCTGGACTGCGGCGCTGACCAACTTCAGCAGGAACTGGAAACGGAGACAGGAGAGGCAGGTGAGCGGAGGGAGGAGCCTGCGGGTCAGGTCCCAGAGCCCGCCTCAGCCAGCACTGGGCTGAGCACTGGGACAGCGGCGGGCTGCAGCCCAGAGGGACAGAAGAAGGTCTCAGAGCAGAGCGGCAGAGGACTGCCGTCACTGCTGCCTAATCAGCAAGAAAGATCATGCTTTAAAGGGTACCGACTCTCGGGCTGGAGAGATAGCACAGTGGGTAGGGCGTTTGCCTTGCATGCGGCCGTCCCGAGTTCGATTCCCAGCATCCCACATGGTCCCCTGAGCACCGCAAGGAGTAACTCCTGAGTGCAGAGCCAGGAGTAACCCCTGTGCATCGCCAGGTGTGACCCAAAAAGCAAAATAAATAAATAAATAAATAAAGGGTACCGACTCTCTCAAGGAGACTCTGAGTCACTTTCATTAATCTGCCCCCCACACCTAAACAAAATAAAACAAGACCCAGTAACCTACCTGCTGTCGTGCTGAAATAATGTTGGGATCCATTTCTCCACTAGGTAACAACTGAATGGAAGTTAGGTCTTTGAAAAAAGCATTCTTCCCCTACGGAGAAAGAAGAGCTGAAGACACGGCTGTGGATGTGCTGATGTGGGGTGGGGGTGCAGACACAGTTCCCGCCCAGCTGCCCTCTGGCTCCAGACCCCAGCTCTGGCCCAGCTTCCTGCTTCTCCGGTCGTCCTCACCAGCGAGGACCTGCAGTGGTTTCCGAGCCCTGCTGTCGGTGCCTGACTCCCGGGGACATTCCCATGACACGTCTGTTCTGCCACCAAGGGGAGGAGAGCAGGAGGAACTGAATGCAGGTGAGGGGTCAGCAGGTGGAAGTACACAGACGCACACACACACACACAGACACAGACACACACACACACGAGCACAGGATTTTGAGTGGGGACAGGGGATGCGATCTCCGAGCCTCCTGTGGAGGTAGAGACAAAGAAGCAAAGAGAATGTCCAAGATGACCCAAGCCTCAGGCTCGGGTGGGTTCAGCCCGTATGTCCAAGAACGAACAAGGACAAACATCCAGATGCGGCAGGGAAAAAGGCAGCAGCCGAAGAGCAGGACACAGGCACCCATGGGACCGGGCGAGCAGAGCACCCCTCGCCGAGCACTGCCCCAAAACCCAGTGCTGACACCACCTCTGCGCCCGCGCCCTGCCGGCCTTCCCTCCCCCAACCCACTGGGACACCTGCCAGCCCCGAGGACCAACCTTACTGTCGAAGAGCGCCAGGGGCTTCACGGCCTTGAGTGCAAACCTGGCCACGGCGAGCAGGAGGGAGCAGAGCACCGAGTGGTGCTCCACCAGCAGGTAGTGGACAGGCTTCTGCTCCAAGGCCAGCTCCACGATGGACACGGGGCCCTCCACGGCGAGCCACGCATCCTCTGTGTCCAGGACCGGCACCTGCATTTCGTCCCGGCTCACGTCGGCCTGCAGGTGACAGAGAGGGAAGCAAGGGCTGAGCCTGCGTGCCAACCCCAACCTGGAATTCAAAGTTGCTCTACCCAGAAACATTTTCCAGGATGGAGTCACAATTTCGAGATGAACCCATCAGAGACAAGAGCACTTCCTAAGCGTAGGAATCTGTGGAGCACTGGGCAGCGCTGAGCCAGGCCAACTCCAACCGACTCACTCACCTCCATCAGGGTCTGCAGAAGGTCCAGGCATGAGCCGAGGAAGGACGTCAGGGCCGTGTCACTCATCCCCACGTCCTGTGGTGGAAAAGGGACCTGTGAACGTCTAGAGCGAACGACGTCACTCCCCCAGGAAAAGTTAATGCCGATTGGGCTGGGGGGCTGGGCCCCATTCTGCAGGGCTCAGGGTTTCCTCCTGGCCATGTGTGGGTGTCGCCTTGCAGTGCTCAAGGAACCAGAGGGTACCACAGCCACAAAGACTCAGACGACACACCTGAGCACTGCCAGGTGTCCCCCCCAATGCTAAATAAATCACAACCAATCAACTCATGGACATGAAGCACCGCTGAGAATGCAAACACCACGTGCATGAACATACATGCACAAACTCACACAGCGCCCTCCAACCAATAAGGTGGCTCTGGCAGTGCTTATTGTTCACAGCACAAGACTGGTGGCAGGCTGAAAAGCACAGGTGTGGCACACAGGAGCCCTGGGCTTGAGCTCTGGTACCACAAGGGTCCTTGAGCACTGCCAAGAGCAACCCTGAGAGCAACTGAAAACATCAAGTTCGGTGACGGCAAGATGCACGTGTCTGCCCTGCCTGAAGATATTCAGATAGTCATTTCAAACTCAGCCAAGTCCACTACCAGCTACAGACCCCACCAAAGCTGGAGTTTCGGCACACGGGGATGCCCCAACTCTGTCCCAGCATGTGGGTACACCCTGACTCAAGTCTTGTGTAAGTGGAGTTCAATTATCTGATGGACTGGAGGGGTTAATCCTGGCCACAGACGGTGAGCAATCTCCTTAACGGTAGCCTCTCCGTGCTCCTCGTCTTTTGCTTGTGTCATCAGAAGGGCCACGGGCTAAGTCCGTCCCCGCAGTTACTCAGTCCTGGGCCAGGGCAGGACCAACGAGACCCACAGGAAAGATCTCACTCACCCTCCGGCACAGCCTGTCCTTTGGTGCTTTTCCAACCTGAGACAAAAGAACACAAAACAGTGTGTCACCACTGCGACAAAGCAGTGTCACCGTGCACAGAAGCAGAGATGTAAGTCACCAAGCTGATCAGCATAAAGGTCAATTAACTGTGGTGACAGTCACTGAGTCAGTGAGGCTCCTCCTGTTTCCTTCCAGCGAGGAGGAGTGGTAAGAACTCACTGACAGAACGGCCAGACACGCTCGCTTCCTCCTCACGGGGGGTAAATTCAGAGCCAAGCATGGAGGATCAAATGGGACCGTGGCATGGACCACTGCCAGGTGACACGGCCACACGCCCGTTGGTGCTGAGACAGAACAATAGAGAAGCCCACGAGGGCTGGGGGGAGTTCTGCGAAAGCTCCAGCTAAGCGGACAAGGAAGGGAGCAGGCAAGAAAGGTGGGTGGGTGCAGCCAGGAAGAATGTGACCACGAGCCATCACCGAGTAGAAACATGAGGTGTGCGTGGGGGGCGGGGAGTGGGGGCTGGCCCTCAGGCATTTGAGGATGAGGTTCTTCAGGCTGTCAAATTGCCAGCCTTGAAGTTACGTTTACCTAGTCAGCATGAGTGCAACGGGGTATGGCAGCAAAAAGTCTGAGAAGGCCACTGAAGATAAACTTCTAATACAAGTTAATGAAGGGAACCAAACATACAAAAAATCCCACAGTCCATGGAATTTAAAAGGCCCTTTCTGTACTCCAGAAAGACAACACTTCCCAATTCGGAAGCGAGCCACAAGACAGCCTTACCTTATCCATCAAGTAGGCAGCAGCGGAAAACCTCTTAACCAGGAACGTGTTCCACATCATCAACGCGATGCCTGCCCAGCGAGAGAGCAGAGCGTGACCGGATGGTGATACATTCCCAATAAACACAGCAATTCATATGGCTACAAAATTCCTTACACCCAACCTAACGTCTGTAAAATAACAGCCAGGACTGGATGGGAGAGGCGGTACGGGGGCTGCTCAGCTAGCAAGGGCCACTGCACTTTCACGCAGAAGCGTGGGCGGTCCGGGGTGGGTATGGAGCCTCAAGCAGGGACAGGAACTGCCCAAAGCACCACCAGGTGGGCCCCCCCAAAAAATCAAAGAAAATCAGAACTGGGGTCATAGGAAGATAACCATCGCCCCTCCCCCACAACCCCCCCAAAAGATAACCAAATGGCCACGAAAGATATAAGATTCACATCATCATTTATGAGACAAATGCAAATTGGGATCACAGAAATACTATTAAGTCACCAATAAAAAGGCTAAATGTTCTTAACGACAATGCCAACAGTTGACAAGCATATGGAACAATCAAATACTCCGACAGAATGGGTGAAATGACAATGGTGAAACCACAGGGTCTGCTTCAATGGCCTCCTTGGAGGTGTTTCCTGGTCTCCCTGGAGGTGTTTCCTTGTCTTTTGGGGAGTGAGTTTTTTTTGTTTTTTGTTTTTTTTTGCTTTTTGGGTCACACCCAACGATGCACAGGAGTTACTCCTGGTTCATGCACTCAGGAATTACTTCTGACGGTGCTTGGGGGACCATATGGGATGCTGGGAATCGAACCTAGGTCAGCTGCGTGCAAGGCAAACACCCCACCCACTGTGCTATTGCTCCAGCCCCACGGGGGTGAGGGTTTTCATGGTCTCTCTGGAGATGAAGGTTTCAATGGCCTCCCTGAAGGTGTTTCTGTGGTCCCTCTAGAGGTTTTTCTCTGGAGGTAAGAATTTCTGTGTTCTCTCTGGAGTTGCTTCCATGGTCTCCCTGGAGGTTTCCGTGGTCTCCCTGGAGGTGAGGGTTTCCGTGGTATTTCTGGAGATGTCTCAGTGGTCTCTGTGGAGGTGAGGCTTTCCCGTGGTCTCCCTCACAGTGTTTTGTGGTCTCACTGAGGTAAGGGTTTCCGTGGTGTCCCTGGAGGTAAGGTTTCCATGGTCTCCTGGAGGTGAGTGTACCTCCCACAGCTCTCACAATATGAAGACGGGATGAATACAGAGGGTGCCACGGGCAGCATTTTCACCAAGTCGGTGATGCGCAACACCCCCAATGTCCACCAACTGATCTTATTCATATGTAAACACCAAATAAAGTGACGAACAAGAAGCATTCAAAATCAGAAACAGACACAAACTACGGGAAACATTTCTTAAAAGACATCCAAGTACCGCACTTGTGTGAGGGGTTTGATCCCTGCACAGTGAAAACAATCTGGGCTGAGCCTTTCCCCATCCCACACTCACCGGCAAGTCAGAGGGGCAGCACCAGGGCTGGACTGTGGAGGAGGCCTGGCTCAATCCCTGCCACTGACAGTCCCCTGAGCTCTACCAGGAGTGACTACCCCATGCCCCCAGCACTGGGGCCAGAGTCATCCCTTAACACCACTGGGCATGGCCCAAAGTTTAAAAGTACTAATTTGGGGCTGGAGTGATAGCCAGCGGGCAGGGTGTTTGCCTTACATGCGGCTGACCCGGGTTTGATTTCCAGCATTCCATATGGTCCCCTGAGCACTGCCAGGAGTGATTCCTGAGTGCATGAGCCAGGAGTAACCCCTGAGCATCGCTGGGTGTGACCCAAAAAGCAATAAATAAATAAATAAATGTACTAACTTAAAAAGCAGATGGCACTGAAACGGGAACTTCAGAACTGTCAGGGGGCACAAACATGCTGTTGGCACGGGGTACTGAGTGGGGGTGCTGAGGTGTGAGGGGGACTAGAAGTCTCATGAGGCACAGGCACTCAGCTAGTTGCAGGGTGCAGTCTCTCTGCACATCAATGCCTTAAGCATGAACACTGTTGTAACCACATCACCTAAACTACATTATTTAAAAAAAACCTTTAAAACCAAGAAGAGTCTTGCCTCCTGTAATCACCCAATCATGATTCCAAACCCAGTTTACTTACCATTCTGAACGTGTGCATTAAGAATGTGCTTCAAATGTTCTATGGATCTAACAAAAAAACGTGCTTCCTTACATGCAGGGAGAAAAACAGAAAAACAGAAGAGGTATCAATTACTAGATGGCTCACATACAAAGAAAAATTTCTGACACAACTTTCTATGTAAAACAGCCCCAGGATGCCAGGGTGAAGAAATCCCAGTTAGAAGCGATTTCTCTTAAGCCCAAAGTCTGATGTCTCTCCAACCCGCATGATGCATCTACCGACACCTGGAAAGCCCCGTGGACCACGCCCTGAGGCGCTCACCTCCGGGTCCTTGTTCCACTGGACCACGTACTCCCAGCAGCAGTGCGCATGCAGCACGTCGGGCTCCAGGCTGCAGGGAAACTGCTCGTAGGCCAGGCACAGCAGCTCTGCAAGACACGGGGGTCACTTTCGAGCTTCGGGGACATGCGCTCCGCCTGGCAGTCCCATGGCCCCACAGCAAGGGCTTACCTGGGGTGCCGACCAGGTCTGTCTCCCCCTCTGACGTCTCAGAGACACCTCTTGAAACCTCTTGGGCTTCATCTGGGTTTTCTGTGTCCTTACTGGCCAGTTTTAAGACGTCAGGGTTGAGGTCCTGCTTAAATATCCACTTGGCGACGGTATCTGCAATACCGCCTGCAGGGAAGGGACAGGAGCAAAGGGCAGCGGGCTGTGGGCCCCAGGGAGAGCAAAAGTTGTGACCGCGAAACCCGAAACTCAGAGCAGGGCCAGTGCATGAGGGTTGCGGGGTACTGAGCCCCTGCACCCCCACGGACAAGCACACAACCAGAGATACACACGTGTCCATCCACCCTGGACTGCTGCTGGCCAGGTTCACTGGACACTGGCTGCAGCTGCCTGACATGGGATTCAATGCCAGTGAGAGCAGCGATCAGCTCGCACGCCCCAGCAGGACTCCCCTCCTCTCTCCCCCAACTACCCCCAGATCACATGCTCCTTCCGGTGAGTTGGCTGCTCTGAGCAGCACCTGCGAATTTCTGGGGCCGCTGTGGTACGACGCAACTGTCACTGAGCTGCACAACACAGCCGACGCCATCACAGCCAGGGCCCCAACTCATAAACACAAACCGAAGATCAGCCAGGACCAGCTAGCCGACGGCGGGGCCTGCTCTGCTCTGCTCAGACTGGTCCCTCCACCTTTCTGCTGTTTGAGTCAAGGTGAAACAAACCACCAGAAGGACCTTTCTGCACAGGGGCTGCTCCCGAGGGCACCACCTCCCAGTGACCCTGAGAGCGGCTGCCTCGGCTGGGCTCGTTTTTCAGCTCTGCCTCCTCGACACCCCCAGGTCTCACTCCAGCACCAGGCTCTGGAGAGGGGGTGTGAGCCAGCGTTAGGATGGTTTCCCCAAGCTCCCACCAGGCTGGCAGCAGGATGAGCAGTGAATCTACCACTAAAAAGCCTCTATCACAAACAAGTCCTGCAGAGAGTAGAAAACTACACAAAAACCCCTCGGTGCCTGGGTATGTCCCAACAGCCCAGTCGTGACAGAACAGGAGGTCTCAGAGCTGGCCAGGACCAGCCTGCTCCTCACCCCCACCGTGCCCCCAGTCCGTGACTCCAGCAGGGGAAACAAGGTACTGGGAAAGATAAGGGAGGGACGCCCTGGGACCGAGGACGCACAGGGGAGGGCCAGGGGCGGGGTAGTGAGCTGTTTCTGGAGAAGGACGCCTTTGAGCTGGTCCTTAAAGGCGAGGAGGGGGGAGGCTCACTCTCAAGCCTGTGTTCTCGCCCAAACACACATTTCGCTCGCTTGCCTCTCTGCCTCTCTGCCTCTTCTCCACTCTTGAGAATCCTGTGTTCTGTCTTGAACATGTGTACCCTCCATTCTCTCCCCTAAGTGTCAATACGAACTATCTCGCATCACCAAAAAAAAAAAAAAAAGGATAAATGAGGAAGAGCTAGAATGAGCCCTCATCTCTGCAGAGAAACAAGATGGAAAAATAAAGGTCCAGACCAAGTGGGAGCAGAGGGCAGGAGGAGAGTGTGGCTCAGACGCACAGACGCCTCAGGTGAGCGAGGGAGGGAGGATGTGGGGTCCCAGCCCACAGGAGGGTCAGCCAACGTCAGCCACAGGCAAGGCCAGCACCAGAGCCCTGGGCCTCTCTCTGTGGCCCGACCAGCCTGTGAAGCTCCAAGTGCGCTGAGTGCTGTTCCCGTCTCTGTCCCTTTGGTTCCTGCTCCTCGGTCTGGGGCAACCGAAGCCCCACTCCAGAGAGATCCAGACCTTGGGAGGCAATGGCTCCCCTTGCCTCCTTCCAGTAACTTCACCGAGAGCCCGCGGAGCGGCTCGGCCCGCAGGGAGGACAGGCTTACCTTTCCCTCCCTCCAGTAACTTCTTCACCGAGAGCCTGGGCAGCGGCTCGGCCTGCAGGGAGGAGCCGCGGGGCCGCGCGCCGGCCCGGCTGAGCAGCAGCGTCTGCAGGAGGAGGCAGTCTTCCAGCTGCCGCAGCAGCAGCTTCCAATACTCGGAGTCCAGGGACAGCGCCTCCCATGAGTCGGTGAGACCCTCCGAGTCGGTGCTCGCAGCAGCCTGAGGAAATGAGCAGGAAACGCTGGGTGACCCGCTGGCCTGGGCTGGCCTCGGCGTCCACCTGAGCGAGCTTGGGAGGGCGCGGCCAGTTCCGGGCAGGCTCCAAAGCCGCCTCCAGGCAGAAGTGCCTGGCTGCAAGGACAAACCGCAAGGCTGGGAGCAGTCGGCATCCCCCCACACCAAGAACCTGCAGATGCTACATGTCAAAGTTATGATGTCCCACAACACGCAGACAATGTCGCCCAGGAAGAGACAGGCGACCCACAATGGGCTGTGTGGCCAGTGAGGCCAGGACACTCACTCACCTTCTTCTCAGAACCGCTGCTGGACAGCTGGGCGGCCACGGCGTGTCCCACGTGTGCTGACAGCAGGGCGGCCCCATTGTTCTCAGACTGGACACAAGCGGCCCGCATCTGCTGCCACCACGGGGACACAGACTGGGAGTCCCAGCCCTCATCGATGGCCACTGCAGAAAAGGGGACAGGCATAGGAGAAACAGTGAGAGCTGCTGGGGCCCAACGCTTGGGGGGGCCACGGGCGTGGGGGCCAGGGCTACATGCAGGGATCAGACGGTGTGTGTCACCATTGTGTCTGGGATGGAACCCGGCAGACGCAGTGCAGGCCTAAATTCTCGTGTTACATAGTTACACATAAACCCCCTACATGTTTCTGAGTGAGCAGATGAACACATCTACAACCCGCTTTGTTCAGACATGTATATTTAGAACATGTATATTCCACAGGTTCACCTCACTCCTGGATATCACTGCATACTACTACAAAATGTTTTAATATAACAGATTAATCAGGCCCAGAGTAAGACACAGCTTGCCTCCTCCAAAGACCTTTCATTGCATTGATCTCACCAGGTTAAGGACAAGCACGATCACATCACATGGGTTTCTGAGAAGACACACAACAGGAATTCCCTCCTCTAAGACACACTCCAACGTCACTGAGAGGTTTGTACTAATACGGAAAAGGGTCTCGCAATGGCACATTTTGTACAATGCTGCTCCTGTGTGTGCAGAGAATCGAGCATCCCTCTCCTTCCCGCAAACACGAAGCCATTATGAGAGGGCCATGTGGGCAAGGGGCCAGGTCAGCGCCAGGCCGTTCAGCCAAGGGACAGGACAGCGCCAGGCCGTGCAGCTGAGGAAAAGGACAGCCCCAGGTCTCACCTTTCATCTTGCTCAGGAGGGACAGCATCGTGTGAAGACAGCACACAGACTGCGGCTGATCCAAAATGTCCTTTTCCTTCGAAAGCCAGACACTCAGGAGCAGAGACTGGACCAGAGGGAGAGTCTGTTAGCACAGATGACGCCCGAGAACAGCAAATGCCTCTTGTTCTGCCGCGAGCGCAGGCGCACACCTGGGGCTGCGGCGTCCCCTCCCAGAATGTGGGGAGCCGCCTCTGAGCCCATTCCTTGTCCTGAGGCCAAGCACTGCCCCCAGCTCCAGTCTCTGCTCAGAGGCGCAGCACACAGGCGGCCAGGCTACAGCAGAGGTTCTGTGACAGCTGGTCGGCTGGCCAAGACCACGGGACGAGAGAGGGAGCAGGCAGAACCGTGAGTCGGCCCTCCTGTGGCCTTGGGGAACTGCTATGGAAAACTCAAACTTGGGGGCCACAAGACAGCACAGGGCTGAGGGCACACTTGTTCAGCCCAGGCTCGATTCCTGCAGCTCGATGCTCAATGCTCCCCCAAGCCCTGGAGGCGCCCAAACCCCACCAGGCGCGGTCTAGGGATACCCAGCATGGCAAGGCCTAAGCATGTAATCTGTAGGCCCTGAACTGAACTGACAGCTGCACTGAGAATTACCGGGGCGGGGACCCCCAAAATTGTAGAGCACTGCTTGGGAGCCCACCAGAACACCCAAGTCCAAGCTGCCTGGGTGGGAGGTGTCCAGGGGCTGCTCCAATGGTGCTCAGGGTCACACTGGGACCTCCTGCACACCAAGCATATGCCCCAGTCCGCTGAGCAAACTTTCTGGTACAAAATAATCAATTGCAAATATTAAGAAGCAGCTGTTTGAGGGGGCAGAGTGATAAAACTAAAGAGAGGGTGCTAGTCTTGCATGTAGCTAACCTGGGTTCAATCCCTGGAACCCCATATGGTCCCCGAGCCCACCAGGAGTGATCCCTGAGCACAAAGCCAGGAGTAAGTCCTGAGCACTGCTGAGTGTTGCCCAATCAGGGAAAAGAGAGAGAGAGAGAGAGAGAGAGAGAGAGAGAGAGAGAGAGAGAGAGAGAGAGAGAGAGAAAAACAGCTTTTTCGTCTGCAGTTAGCCATGCCTGGTAATGCTTGGGGGGCAAGGCTGGGCCGGGTCTCTGCAGGCTAAGCTCTGCGCTCGCTCTCTTGAGCCACCTTACTGGTCGAGCGAGAAACACATTTTCAGAAAGACACACCTGACATTGTGTCGTGTAAGGTAACTGCATCAGTGTGCCTCCTTAACTCGGAGGTGTGTTAAGATTTCAAGTCTCCGCACAGAGAGGACAGGGATAATCAAAAGTTACCAGCAGGGGCTACGTGTGTACCTGGTATCTGCTGACCTTCAGAGGATTCACTCAGAGATAAAAAGTGGGGCCAGAGCAATAGCACTGCAGGTAGGGTGACTGCCTTGCACACAGCCAAACGGGGTTCGATTCAGGGTTCCCCACATGTTTCCCCAAGCTCGCCAGGAGTAATCTTGACCGAAGAGCCAGAAGTAACCCCTGAGTATCACCAGATGTGGCCCCTCCAAAAAAACTAAAATAAAAGGTGGGGCTGCCAGAATCTGGAAAAAACCTGAGTGCCCGAGAACAGATGACTGGTTAAAGAAACTTTGGTACATTTACACAATGGAGTACTACGTAGCTGTTAGAAAAGACTAAGTCATGAAATTCACATACAAGTGGTACTACATGGAAAGTATCATGTTAAGCGAAATGAGTCAGAAAGAGCGGGATAGACACAGAAAGATTGCATTCATCTGGGGAACATAAAGCAACAAAAAGGGAGACTAGCACCCAGGAATGGCTGAGATTAGTACCAGGAATTTTGCTCCATAACTTGGAGGCCAGCCACACATGCTAGGTGAAAGGGAAGCTCAGATAGAGAAGAGAGCACCAAATAAAGGGTGTTGTGAGGCCCCTCCCAGGGTGGGAGAAGCATGTTAAAAGTAGTCTATAGACCAAACATGATTGCCACTCAATGCCTCTCTTGCAAAACACAGCACCCAAAAGAAGAGAGAGAGAACAAGGGGGAATGCCCTGCCACAGAGGCAGGGTAGGACGGGGGGGATGGGGGGTGGGAGGGATGCTGGGACCCGTGGTGGTGGAGGATGGGCACTGGTGGAGGGATGGGTACTTGATCATTGTATAACTGAAACCCAAGCACAAAATTTGTAAGTCTATAACTGTACCTCATGGTGTTTCACTAATAAAATAAATAAATAAATAAATAAAAATAAAAGACACAGGGAAATGTAAGAATGTAAAAAAAAAAAAAAAGGTGGGGCTGCCAGTTCATGTACTTGCACAAATAATTTTTGAAAACTGAAAATAGAAAATTGGAGAAGTGAAGGAAATTAACTTGCGAGAATGAACATTCCTGTCCTAGCTTTGCAGGTGCCTGTTTCCCACAATTGCCAGAGGGGCAGGTCAGATGAAGTCTACAAGGAGAGTGCTACAGTACACAACCAACAACTCCCAGAGGCAGGACGACAAACAGTGTGTGCGCAGGGGTGTGAGAGGGTGCCACTCTTGTGTGCCTGCTCTAAGCTACAGGCAACGAAAAACTAAAAAGCTGGGATTCAAGGAGTGAGAAAGGACAGGCTTCTTGGGGAGTATGTGTGTGTGTGTGTGTGTGTGTGTGTGTGTGTGCGCGCGCATGCACGCGCGTATGTCTTGTACTGAGATAGACCTCAGCCCCTCTACCACTGAGTATCTGTGTTTCTGGGTGTGTATATATCTGTGTTTGTGTGTGTGTGTGTGTGTGTGTGTATGTGTGTGTGTTGTGCCGAGAGAGACCTCAGTCCCTCTACCACTGAGTATCTGTGTTTCTGTGTGTGTGTATATGTATCTGTGTTTCTGTGTTTCTGTGTGTGTGTGTGTGTGTGTGTGTGTGTGCTGGTACTCAGGCCCTCTACTGCTGAGTGTCTGTGTGTGTGTGTGTGTGTGTGTGTGTGTGTGTGTTGTGCCGAGATAGACCTCAGGCCCTCTACTGCTGAGTATCTGTGTTTCTGTGCATGTGTATATGTATCTGTGTGTGTGTGTGTGTGTGTGTGTGTGTGTGTGTGTGTGTGCTGGTACTCAGGCCCTCTACTGCTGAGTGTCTGTGTGTGTGTGTGTGTGTGTGTGTTGTGCCGAGATAGACCTCAGGCCCTCTACTGCTGAGTATCTGTGTTTCTGTGCATGTGTATATGTATCTGTGTTTCTGTGTGTGTGTGTGTGTGTGTGTGTGTGTGTGTGTGTGCTGGTACTCAGGCCCTCTACTGCTGAGTGTCTGTGTGTGTGTGTGTGTGTGTGTGTGTTGTGCCGAGATAGACCTCAGGCCCTCTACTGCTGAGTATCTGTGTTTCTGTGCATGTGTATATGTATCTGTGTTTCTCTGTGTGTGTGTGTGTGTGTGTGCGCGCGCGCATGCACGCACAGACTGTGACTGCTGAGGCCTGGCCCCAGATCCCTCTGGTCCTGCACAGGCTTTCATTCATCTGTGAAACACTCTGGACGATGGCCAACAATGCCCACCGCCTCGGGGAGACAGGGGCAAGAGGGAAAGACTCTGGCAACGAGAAAGCTTACCAGCAACAGCTGCGGGCTGAGCCCCGCCGCCTCCAGGGTCCGGCACATGTCCTCCGTGGAGGTCTCCCCATGCAAGCACTTCCAGAAGAAGAAACTGCCTGATGAGATAGAACAGAACCTGCTCACCACCTCAGACACGCTCACACACTGTAAGCCAGTCCCCGAAGAAGCGGCTCGGCACGAGAGGGAAAGGCACAGCTCCATCTGCTCATCTGAACAGAGCAGAGAGCAAACCTCCCAGTCCGATGCTGTCCCTGGAGCAGACCCAGTCAGGCCACTCAGATGGCACCTACACCGAGAGCACCTCTGTACCTCTGCCCAGCAGAAGAAACATACAGAGTGTGTGTGTGTGTGTGTGGGGGGGGGGGGGGGTCAAACTACATCCTGGAGATGCTGTGAGTCCTCCCCTGGAAACGGAGGATTCACAGGACAGTCCCTTCTTCCACCCACCTAAGGCCACATACTCCTCTTCACTTATCTTCTTCACGCTGACAACATCTTTCTCATACTCCAAGTATTCCAGGAATGTTTTGGCAGGCAATGTGCCATCCACATGATCAGAAAACCGAACCGTGGTCCTGGTGTTCTCTCGCTTGTATTTCTCCAATAATGCCTGGAGCTTGAACAGTTCTTTCTCATCAAGCCTTAGTAACGCTGCCAAGTCCTTAAAAACAGGAGGGAAAGGTTCTGGATAGACAAAGTGTCTTTCTTTGAATCTACCCCATCAGTGTCAACCCCATCATCCGAACTGCAAGACCCTGAACCCGAGATGACAATTTCTCCTTGAATCTTGACTCTTGAACTTAGGAGCAGTTTATCTGAAAAGAATAAACTAATCCTGAAATGACATATGACTACAAGGGCTATGAAAGTTCCTTCAAAGAATGTTTATGAAAAAATTTAGGCACCGAAGGATGTGTGACCGTCCAGGAGACCCTGCGATAGACTCAATCAACCTGAACTTTATTGCATAAAATGACTTGACTGCTGAGGTAGAGAGAAAAATTAAAACTCCAAAAACAGCTTTGTCTTGTAGTGACTAACTTATGGCTATAGTATTTACAAAATATAATAAAATCTTATCTATAATCCCAACAATTAAAAATATGTCAGTTTGCACAGGCTATTCCCATTATCTCTTTTTTTTCCCTTCAAAAAATTTCAACTCATGTATGAGTATTTAAAATAAGAATCTTCTGGAGAGACAGCACGGGAGTTAAGGCCTTTTGCCTTGTATGGGGCCAACCCAGATTCAATCGCTGGCACCATATGTGGTCCTCGGAGCCCCACCAGGAGTGACCCCTAAGCACAGAGCCAGAAGTAAACTGGGTGTAGCCCCAAAGCGCCCCTACTTCCCCCAAAGAGAAGGCCTGAGACCCTGCCTAAGGTCCCGGCAGTATGAGACAAAAGAGTATTCTCTCAACTCTACTCAGAGAAATTTCATTTCCCTGTGCAAAAAGCAAGCATTAGAGAAGCATGGCTCATAAATGAGTGACAGTCACTACTATAAAGATGAGACGGTGCTGTCCCATTACTTTTCATAGAATAAACACACAGAACATTTACTATCATTTATATTAAATTCTTTTAAAAATGGAGAAAAAACCAATTCTGAGCAATGTAAAGTACCAACAATTAAAATTCTGGCATAGGGGTTATGGTGCTGCCAGCAGGTCAATCTGTACCTGTGAGGTGAGTGCATCAGCAGCCTGATGGCGCCTTCAGACTTCCAGATACCCCAAAATTGCTGCTGTGCCTTTGGCCAGACACCAAAAACTTGGGACAAAGTTTACCAAGAAATTAAACGGCCAAAAGTTAGGTATGTGGGAGACACACCTACAAACCACCTCCAGCCCAGCAATATAATTGGAGGCAAGGCCTCTCTGGTTCCTGATTGAACTGCTTAATGGCCATGATCCCAGAGAATCAGAAACAAATCTTGAAACCCAGCAGCTTTTGGCAGAAATGTGTCCGGTCCCTGCAGTAGGTTACCAGTGCTAGGCCACCCCAGGTGGGAATAGGTTTCGTGCCTTGGCCTGTTCCCCCTGGCGGCCCAGTGGCCACCATCCTCCAGAGGCCACTGGACAGTCAGGTTTGGGCCTGCAGTGACGAGACATTTTGGGCCTCACGGGATGGGGGTGGAGCCGATCCTGTCCTCCCCACCCCAACAAGACCCCAAGTCATCGCCCACGAACGGCCTCTCTGGCTCCAGATCAAGCTGCTAAACAGCAATGATCCCAGGGACTCAGGAACAAATCTCGGAACCCAGCAGGTTTTGGCAGAAATCCCTCTAGATTTAAGTGTTAAAATTTCAGAATTCCAAAATCGTACAGTCACTACTGCAGCCATGCGACATCATATGTTATTCATAACCAACAATAGAAAACAAATTGTTTACTGTTGCCTTTTCTGCAGATCTGAGTGTTGGGGTAAAATCCCAAATAATAATGGTGGATATGGCACCAAAATATTGAACGTAATCAAAGTAGAAAGAGAGTAATGTGGAAATCATCTGCCCCACAGGTAGAGGGAGGGTGTGGGATGGGGGTATACTGGGGTTTTTGGTGGTGGAGAATGGGCACTGGTGAAGGTACGGGTGTTTCATTGTATGGCCGAGACTTAAATCCGAAAGTTTTGTAACTGCTCTCATGGTGATGCAATAAATGGAAGTATAAAAAAATGAAAAAAAAAATGCTGAAAAAAAAGAATATATCATCTAATTTTTTTATTCTTTATCTCTTTTGTAATACAATAAAACTTTATATTTGGGGCTGGAGTGATAGCACAGCATGTAGGGTGTTTGCTTTTCACCTGGCCGACCCAGGTTCAATTCCCAGCATCCCATATGGTCCCCTGAGCATCACCAGGAGTGATTCCTGAGTGCAGAACCAGAAATGCCCCCTGTGCATTGCCGGTTGTGATCCAAAAAGCAAAAAAAAATTAAAAATAAAAAGAAACCTTTATCTTTAAAAAAATAAAATAAAAATAAAATTCTAGCATAAATAATAAATATTTAGCAGTCAGACACATAAAATTCAGCAAATGAGCTTGCAAAGAAAGTATATCTTCACATTTTAAAAAACTCTTCTTTTTCTTTTTGTGTCTGTGTATAATGGGGGATGGGGGTGTCACAATTTTTTAAATTCCTCATTTCTGTATCTAATCAAAGAAAACTTTTAATTACAATGTTTTCAAAACAGAGACTATTCTGTATGTCATAAATTGAGATTACTTACATTATCAGAAAATGGTGTGTCTGAATGAAACTCAAGGGAATTTAATTGATTTACAGACTCATAAAGATGGAGCAATTTCAGCTTACTGTCACAAAATTGTAGCAATCCTTCATCAACAGACTCCAGCTCTAAAAGAAAAAAAGAGAAATACATGAAATACCCAGGAAGACTCAAGTAATGCCTTTTGAAAATTAAATTTAATATCACATGACTCCCTGCGGCTCCGTTACATTTAACTGAGGGCACTTGAACTGTCACAGATTAAGAAGGTAAAGATGATTCTCTCCTTGTGGCAAACTGTCTCAACTACTTAATGAAATAAGTTTCTCTACAAAATAGGAAGGAAAAAAGAAGACAAAGAGAGAAGTATTGTAATGTAGTCTGACACTGAAATTCAGAAATAAATGGTCTTGGGCTGGAGAGACAGCCCAAGTGTGAAGGTGTTTGCCTGGCATGCGTTCAATCCCTCTTGAAACCCCAGGACCCCACATGGCTCCCTGAACACCATCAAGAGTGATCCCTGAGCACAGAGCCAGGAGCAAGCCCTGCGCACGGCTGGGTGTGGCCCTAACCAGCTGCCTCCAAAGACGTGGTCTGGAGGCAGAGTTCCTGGGAGCAGGGTGCATCTTGGCCACACTCCGCAGTGGTCAGTGGTCTGTCCAGGCAGCACTGGGGCAGGATCACACAGCACAGTGTGAAACCCGGGACTCCAGCGTGCAAAGCCTGCACCCCCCTGCAGAGAGACGGGAGAACACTCCCCCATGCTGCCCACGGTGCTCACGCTCAGAACAGGGGGCAGAGAGCAGTCCTCAGGGAGCTCGGGCAGAGCCGACTTCACTGAAACTACAGCAAGAGACTGGAAGCTGAATCCCACGTCGCATCCCCATCAGTCAGGTTCCCTTTCCTTTCTTTTTCCTGGGGGTAGTGGTGGGGGGCGGGGAGACTGGGCCACACTCAGTGATACGCAGGGATCATGGGTACTGAGGGCTGAACATGGGCCTCCTGCATGCAAAGGATGTACTGAGCTGAACTATCTTTCAGAGGAAAATCCCAATACATTCCTATATGACAAATATTTACATCTAACATAATTATTCCTCCTTTAAACGGCAGACACTGCTTCCAGCCCGCATCTCCCATCCCGAGCGGGCCCTCCTAACACCCTTTATTTGGTGGTCCCTTCTCTAACTGAGCTGCCTTATCCCCCAGCATGTGAGGCCAGCTTCTAAACTGTGGAGTATAGACCATACATGGTGGCCACTTAATACCTCTACTGCACACCACAACACCCAAAAGGAGAGAGAGAGAGAGAGAGAGAGCAAAAGGGAATGCCCTGACACAGAGGCAGGGTGGGGTGAAGGGAACAGGTAGGGACGAGGTGGGGGTGATGGGAGGGATGCTGGGACCATTGGTGGTGGAAAATGGGCACTGGTGGAGGGATAGGTACTCGACCACTGTATGACTGAAACGTAAGCACGAAAGTTTGTAAGTCTATAACTGTTCCTCATGGTGATTCACTAATAAAAAAATTTTTAAAAACCCCACCCATTTCCCCCCCCCTCCACCATAAAAAGGGCAGACACTGTAAACCCGCACAAACTCTTACTTAGGATATAGTCATCTGAACACTACTCAAATTCTAAAATGTCAGATAGTCAATACCTGACTTTTTTTTTTTTTTTTTGCTTTTTGGGTCACACCCAGCAATGCTCAGGGGTTACTCCTGGCTTTGCACTCAGGAATTACTCCTGGCGGTGCTTGGGGGACCATATGGGATGCCAGGGATTGAACCCGGGTCGGCCACATGCAAGGCAAACACCCTACCCACTGTGCTATCTCTCCGGCCCAATACCTGACATTTTTAGAAGTCTCATTTATGAGTACATTTGGTTTGCTTGCAGGCCAGAGCAAGATCATATTTACTTAATAAATTGTGAGAGTGGGGTTGGAGCAACAGCACAGCGGGTAGGGCGTTTGCCTTGCACGTGGCCCACCCGGGTTCGATTCCCAGCATCCCATACGATCCCCTGAGCACTGCCAGGGGTAATTCCTGAGTGTGTGAGCCAGGAGTAACCCCTGTGAACAGCCAGGTATGACCCAAAAAGCAAATTAAAAAAATTGTGATAGTTTATTAAAGCCTTAAGAAATAGGATGATGTTATTTGTTTAGGTTTTCTTTCTTTTTTTTTTTTTTTCCCCATACCCAGCAGTGCTCAGGAAATACTCGTGGCTCTATGCTTAGGAATCACTCCTGGTGGGGTGCTGGAAACCATATGAGGTGCCCAGGTTGGCTGCGTACAGGACAAGTGCCTTACCTGCTGTGTTATCACTCTTGTCCCAAGACAGGAATGCCTTTTAAAATGCACCCTGCATTTTAAAGGACACATTCTAAATTTGGTTTATGTATGTAGCACTGCACTGTAACATTGTCCTCCTGCTGTTCATCATTTGCTCCAACAGGCACCAGTAATGTCTCCATGGTGAGACTTGTTACTGTTTTTTTTTTTGGTATATCCAATAAGCCACAGGGAGCTTGCCAGGCTCTGCTGTGCAGGCGGGATACTCTTAGTAGCTTGCCGGGCTCTCCGAGAGGGACAGAGGAATCGAACCCGGGTTGGCCATGTGCAAGGCAAACGCCCTACCCGCGGTGCTATCACTCCAGCCCTGTTTATGTATGTACAGAAAAAAAAAAAAAGAACCTCAAATTGGATATTAAAGTCCCAAAAGAGAATACCATTTGTTTATCAAGCGAGCTTAAGTTGGCTTGGTTATAAATATAACTGTCAACATTTACCAGGCTTCTATAATCGTTTCTAAAATTTGAAGTCAGATCACAATCTCCAATCCATACAAATCCTGTTACCTTGGTTTTTAAATGTGTCCATTAAAGTCTGAGTGATATTTCTTAGACAGGAAAACAGTAAACGATCACTCGCCAAAATGCTTTCCAGAGCCTAGGAGAGAAGATTCAGCCATTTGAAAGGTTGAAAGCAACAATCGAGTTGTAAGTTCTCTCTTTGTGCCTCCTCTTTTCCTGCCCAAATTTCAGAGGGACGCTCCATATGAAAACTCTTTTACAAACACCCAAGAATTAAAGTGGCTCCGTAAAGAACACTCAAGCCATTTCATTCTAGGCAAAAGACCACATGGAGAATGAGACAAGAGGGAAACAACTGACACAAAACTGTGCGCCTCAGGGAACCAGGAGGAACCAAGCTGTTCCCAAGAGGGTCTAGGTGCGTCAGCTCCCCTCCCTGAAGCAGGAATAGGTGGGGAGACACAGATAGATCCTAAAGATGTCACCCCAAGTGCAGAACGACAAAGCACAACAAGCGAGGGAAGCACTGGGTCCGGAGCCCAGGCCCTTAGGAACGGGGGGCTGGGAGGACACCAGGCGCTTCGACAACACCAATGCAGGGTCCATACACCCGCATTGACTGTTCCTCACTGGAACTCGGGCTGGCACTGGTGTGTCTGGTAAGATCACTTAACTACGAGACAGAGAGAGGTGCCAAGGGACCCAGCCCAGGCAGCCGAAAACCTCCAGAAATCAACCACCACATGCTCATGGCCACTCTCCACATGCTCAGGCTGAGCCTCAGCCAGGAGTGACCCTGTTCCTGGACCGCGCAGTCGCATCCATGCGGCTTCACAAGACATACCCACCCACGCTTCAAGAGCACTGCACCACACGTGATGGGGTGCAAGTAGGAGGCAAGCAGTCTTAGAGGGAAATATTTTCTTTACAGACTTATAGAAGGGTTTAGTAGCCCCTGGGTGAAACACAACAATCTTCACACTTCTTCCTCTAAGGATACTTTTTTGTAGCGTTCTCAGCAGTTTTTCAGAATAAACAACATAAAATATATTATTTGGGCAGGGATTGGGGTTTGGGATGGAAACATTCAAAATATGATGGTGGGAAGGTGTAATGATGGTGGGATTTGTGTTTGAATATTAAATATGATCAAATAGTGTTAACTACTCTATAAAATAAAAAAAAGTAAAAAAAATTTTGAAACCACAATGCCCAAAAGGGGGGGAGGGGGGGGGAGAGAGAGAGAGAGAGAGAGAGAGAGAGAGAGAGAGAGAAAGAGGAAAAGCACCTGCCAAAGACGCAGAGGCAGGCAGGGGTGAGGGATGGGAAATGGGAGAGAACCTGGAGACACTGGTGACGGGAAATGTACACTGGTGGAGGGATGGGTGTTGGAATACTGTATGACTGTAGTCCAATCATGAATGGCTTTGTCATGCTCTAAAAAATTTATATGTATTAAAATATATATATATATATATATATATATATATATATATATAAGCTACCTGTGATAAACACAGTAACAATTGTCACAATGGAGATGTTACTGGGCCCGCTCGAGAAAACCGATGAACAACGGGAGGGTAGTGACAGTGATATATATATATATATATATATATATATGAGGGAGACAACAGGCACCTCTACACTTTCACAAGAGCAGAGAAAAGAACAGACAAGGAGACTCAAGTCATCATATTTGCAAAGAATCAGAAAAATGCTTTTCTTTTCTTTTTGTTTTTGGCTTTTGGGCCAAACCAGCAGTGCTCAGGTTTTCTTCCTGGCTCTGCACTCGATACTTTTCTGCAGGCTGGAGCTACAGTAGTACAGCAGCAAAGGCGCCTGCCTGCCCACAGTCAATACGGGTTTGATCTGCAGTACCCAGAGACTCCCGAGTGCTGTGGGGTGCAGTATCTGAGTGACGAACGAGCAGAGAAGAACGCCTGAACACTGCCCAGGGTGACCCCAAAACACCAAACACTTTTCTTCAGAGGATGTGTGGTAAGTATAAGCAATCATGTAATATATCATGTAATATATACACTTGCCTGTTTTTTGGTTGCAGGATACTTAATATCAAGAATCAATTCCTTTATTTCTTTTTCAACCAAATCTAGAGAGAGAGAATTAAAATTTTTACTTTTTAACAAGTCAACTTGACTCTGAAAGAAATCGGCACAAATTTACATGACCAGGATCTCTGCATTTCCTGACACTCTTTCATTTTCACACATTTTATTTTATTTTTCAGCGGGGGTTGGAGTCAAACCAACACCCTAGCACTGCTGGGGCTACCCCTGGCTCTGTGCTCAGAGGTTGCTCCCAGTGGAGCACAGTGGACAGGGCAGGGCTGGGAGCGAAGTGGGGTAGCGGTCATCTCTTTGGCCCTCAGTGTTATAAATTTTAATACTTCCTGGATAATTTTATCCTTCCAAGAAAAAAATCCAATGAAAAGTACATGTACTTCACCTCATTCCAAAAGGGAGTCGTAAGAGCTCATAAATATGCTAGACTATTCCATTTACAATACCCTCGCAACTTCTAAAATGACATAACAGCACATTCTGTCATTTTCCTTAAGGGTACCAACCAAGATTGGGAGATTTTGCTTTCAGCAAGGCCGCAAGTTTCTTCACTAAGTGCATGTCCTTCGCGCGCTCACTCTTCTTATCACTAAAACAACAAACACAACAAATGCCCACAGGAACGTGAAACGATTTTGCTTCTACTTCCAAAAAGCTCCAATTTTTTTCCTTTCTACGCTTCCTGGTTACTATTAAAGATCTCAGGCTCACAGGAAAGGACCAAGGACAGGCAGCAGTTCTGAGAAACAGTAACAGAGACGCACATTCAGGGGGAACTCCAGGGGAGCGAGCCCCAGCCTTACCTCAGGGCTAAGTGGAAAGGGACGATCACGGTCTTCACACTCCCACACACTGGGTCCACCAGACAGATCTGGTGTGTCTGAGGCTGCCAACTCTGGCTGGTAACGTTATTTAAGCCCATGATTTTGTAGCCAGGATACAGAAGCCTAAAGAAGTAAAAGCATATGAGAGAGAGAAGAAATGCCAAAGGGTGCTTTTATCAGAGCTTAGGAACCCTACACTATCATTCAGATCAGGAGCATTAATAAGGGCGATTTTGGAAATACCAAAAACCCAACTAAAGCAAGACTGTTGAGTTTGACTTCACTAAAAAACACCAGAAAACTTAACAAACTCCACTAGGTCTGTGTGTTATCACAACAAGGCATTTGCCTTCTGAACATCATCCCCAAGGAAAGCCTGAAGGGACCTTGACTTTGCCCCGACAGACACCGGGCAGAGGCGTCACCAAAGTCAACTGTTACATGTACTGTTTGTGGAGCCAGGTATCAGAATCCAGGCCGCACACGCTCAAGGTCTAGTGCTCTGCCGCTCTGCATTTCCCCAGCCACCAAAGCCAGCTTCCATGAGCAGCAGCACCACGGCCTCTGCAGGAAGGTTTCGTTACTCAATACTCGCTCCCTAGTCAAAATTCAGGCACACATAAGAGACCCAGGACAGAGCACAGCAGAAGCAGGATGGGGAGCACAGCAGAAGCGAGATCGGGAGCACGGGTGAAGCAGGACGGGGAGCACGGCAGAAGCAGGACGAGCACAAGACTCTCAGGAACACGTGTCCGGTGTGCGGCTCTGGTGCCAGCGTTCCTTCCCGCTGCAGGCTCTCCCGGCCGTCGATGCTGGCGCTGCGGCTCACCTGCAGTGCTTCCCCACGTTGAAGGCGCCAACCCGGGGCCCCTGCTGTGTGTTCCACACTTCCAGAATCCCCCGCCGCGGGGCGTAGATGACAAGAAACTGGGCCACGCGACTTGGGCCCTGGGTACTCCCGAAGGGGGAGAGGTCAGCTCTGTCGGGCACTCTCTCGTGCAGGTCCTCCACAACCTGGATCCAGCCCACCTGGGCATCTCGGTACCCTGGAGGCGGGAAGGAGTTAACCGGTCAGGTCTGGGTCACCTTCTCACAGACTCGGGGGTATTTTAACAAGAGGTGAGAAAAGCCAGGGAAGTTCTTGATCTTTTTTCTTGGACAGAAAACAATTTTAATAAATACTAAACCAACCACCTTCCTATCAGACCTAAATACTCTGCTGTATTTGCCTCCAGTCACTTTCTTCCTTTGAAAATGAAAGAAGTAACTTTAGCATTCAGGGTTCCCCATTTGGGATCCCTTCCCGCTGTTTCAAAAACCGACACCTCAGTCCGGGCAGGGGATGAGCTCGACTGGTCAGGCACCAGCATCATATGTGTGAGGTCCTGGGCTTGATCCCCAGTACCCAGTTCATGGCTTCTCTTTCTTTTTTTTAAAAAAAGCAAGCATAAACAAAGGATTAAATAGTATCATCAGTCAGGAGCTAATTGGTGAACAGGCAAACTGATTCTTTTCTTAAGTTCTGGAAAAAGTACCTTTCCACATGCGTATTGCAATCCCTCGGGATACGTCTAATAAAATAACTCTGCCAAAATCATCTGTTACTGCTGCCAGTGTGTTACAGGGAGACAAACAGATACTTTCACCGAGGCGTCTCGAATCAGGAAGCCCAAACCTAAGATTTAAAACAAAATGAGAAATTTGGATTCCAATCTAGAAATACATCTAAAATAATTAACTATATAAAACAAAATAGGATGAGTTTGTTTTAATATAATGAAGTAATACCCTTAATAAATTAGTAGTCTATTAATTAGCCATACCTGATATTTGTGATAGATGTTTTAAAAAACTCGGGGGACACACCCAGCAGTGCCCAGGGGTTACTCCTGGCTTTGTGCTTAAGAACATGCACAGTGCTGGGGATTAAACAAGAGAGCTAGCTGCATGTAAAGCAAATGCTCTCCCCACTGTGCTATCACTCAGGCCCGACATTTTAAAGTTTAGTTGCTGTAGTCTGAGTCCCATGCTGACTTGGAGTTGGGTCTAGTGGTTTACATACAAACAGATACTTCACTCTACATCATACATTTTAAAGAGAAAAAGTCACGGTCAAAGAAGTTTTCCAGCATTTCAGCTAGGTAGATGGACACTTGCGACAAAGCACACAACAAACACATATGGAGCACTTTTAAATGACAGGGAGACAGAATGCAAGTAGACAGTCAAGAACCACTGCATTATAGCCTTCATTTATGCTGCAGTGGGAAAAATAGTCCACACCAATGATTTTCAGAGGTGCCACTGATGCAACGAGCTGGACAAACCAGCTCTGCACGGCACACGGGGAAATAACTATGTCTCTCTGGCACTGAGGTGGGGCGGGGAGACACACTTGCCTCACAGCTAACGGGGTGGCTGGTTCCACCTTGGGTTTCTGCTTCTGAAAGGTTTCTTCTTCGTGCTTACTCTTCCAGCCAAGCCAACCACTGAAAAGCAAGAGAATTTGGAATAGAACAGAGACCTCCGGAGCTGCAGAGGACAGACTACTAAAAGATCAATGAAAACGATATTCATAAAAATGAGACTGTTTTCATCTGTTGTGTGATTACCTGGCAGCATTAAACAGAGCAGAAGTGAGTTTGCTTGCAACGGCGAGTGCCACGTGAGACAGCAGAGGCTGTGTGCTGCCCTGGAGAGAGAATATGGGAGAGGGAACTCAACCACTGACAGACGGAGACAGAAAGCGTGCTCAGACTTTTGACAGTGGGCTTAGTTCAAAAGGTTCTGAAAAGCTGTGGAGACTGGACTAGCAGGCAAGACAAAATCAGTTTCTCTCAGACCACACAAGGAAAATGTGAGGGTGGACATCAGCGATGTCACCGCAGGCTCCTGCACAGAGTTCAGAGGCCAACTCACCAGCGGCCTGTTTCATCTTCTGGATTTGCCTCTTTTAGCTTTAATTCAATTGAATGAAAAATCACAGTAGGGCATTAAGATGGCAATAATGCAGCTCTCTCTTTTGCCCTCTTGGTTCGGGGGCAACCCCCAGAGTGGAGTTGTCATCTCCACACAACTGGCCCTTCTCCCTCTTGAACATGATTTTATAATAATAATAATAATAATAATAAGGAAGTACGGACAAATTCAAGGTTGCTTTAAAAGTGAGAAATAGAGCTGCCCAATTTGACACCTGACTTTCCCCTATTTCAGAAGCAGTTTCTACCACTTCAGCCACTCTCATTGCAGCCTGCTTGGCCCTTCCACCCTCACGCTCAGGTGCCCGGGCTGCTGCAGCACTGACCGGCCTGGAGGGCACATGCGGACGTCCATGTGAAAAGACAGCCTGACTGTCCGAGAACTCAGGGCAAGGAAAAACAAGTTTTCTCACACTGAATTTGGCACGTAGTCTATCAATCTAAAGATGCTTAGGGGAAACTGAGTGCAGAATGACCTCGAACCTAGGAAGCAGAACTGTGTCATCTCTCCTCCATACCCATCTGTGTGCAGGTGGAACAACCACAGTGGTTCAAGACCTGCCAGAGTAATGACAGCCTTACCTCTAAGGCATAGAAGAAGCCCGTGAATGGGTTGGAGCCGACGGTGATATACTGAGACATGGCGGGCAGGCTATTCTTGATGGCTGCATTATAGCCACCGATGTTGGAAGCAGTCTTCATTTGATCAAAAGGGGTCAGAGTCATAATACCTAATGAGAAACAGCAACACGTGATCTGGGCCTTTTTCATGATTTCCCCCTCTAAACTTCATGCTACATATTCAGTCTAACCAGTCATTTGAATAACTTCAAAATATCACAGACTATACATTTGGCCATCAGTACATCCTTCAAGCTGTACCTTCTACACAAATAAAAAACCAACCACCTACATTTGAAAGGTTTCCTATCAAGTCCTGCTACACAGTGTTCCAGGTATGGAATAATCTATGCCCCCACCAAAAAGGTTCTCTTCACAAAAAACATACTCTGTTGTTCAGAAAGCAATGAAATAACTTCTCCTTGATCCTTTAAGAGCAAGAGCACACAGACTGACGCCCATGCCCTGTGAGTAACAGCGATGTAAAGTGGAGGGTGCTTAGGCTTCCCACGGAGACCTGAAGTTCATATGCAAAGGCCAAGGGGCAGTGTGCGGAGGAGACAGGGCAAGAGAGGGACCATTCCAGGCAATGTCAGGCCTGTGGGCTCATGGAAGGCCTGGAGCTTTGGTCAAGAAAGAAGAGCAAGGTCTGGAGGGATAGTACAGGGGTTAAGATCTGCCTTGCAAGACAGACCCCAATTCTATCACTGAGCACAGGGTCAGAAGTAAGCCCGGAGTCCAGAGTATGCCCGGAGTAACACACACTCATCAGGTGTAGCCCCTAACAAACAAACAAACGAGCAAGGCTAAGGCTGAGGAGAGGGTCAGGGCAGCAGAGAGGTGGAGAGAAGAGTCTGGAGATGGGAGAAGGAAACAGAAAGAGCATGAAATGTTTTCTTCCAGAGATAGAGCAAGGCAGTTAGGTGATCCAGTCAGCTGACCCTGGCAGAGAGAGACACAGTTCCTGGGGGCATCACAGCTGTGAAAGCCCAGCCAGGAACCAACTGAGTCCAGCAACCATTGCCAGAAATTTGGGCGAAGACCAAACGGAGATGTTTCCTTCAAGAAAGACACACCCCATCATGAAGGCATGACCAGAGGAACAGACATGGTAAAATCTCCTGTGGGAAAAATCAGGTGCCTTAACTCTGGGATCTCAGCAGGTCCTAAAGGAGGTAACATAGGCTAAGATGTGGATCGGTAAAATGAGAGAAGCTGCTCTTTCTGTTGGGTAACATTGCTTTGTCCTTCAAGAAGCTTAGGTTTTATCTGGTTACACCCATTAATCTGGTTACACCCATCAATCTGGTTACACCCATCACAGTGCTCCTGAAGCACTTCCACTTCCATTGTGTTTACATGTAAACATGTAAACAGTCTTCCCTATGCTCTCCTTCCCACTCAGTTAATCAGCTTTCCCCTTAATCAGACTTTGTTAATTTGTAAGATCAGTTTCCCAGAAATCTATGATTTTATATGTATGAGTGAAATATTGCCTTTCTCCTCTCCTTATGCCTTATGAATAGTTTACCTTAAGGTAATATCCTTTTTGTATAGATACAGGAAGACCGTTAACATTATGCTTTGTAACTTAGGATTTGATTGGCCTTGAATATTATTCACTCCCGGGCATCTGCTTTCTCGACTTAGCCTCAGTTGCCCTTAGTTCCTAACACCCCAAAGCAGGGTCCCGACGAGGGACTGAATGGACCCAGGGCAAGCGGTGAGCTACCCTGGCAGCGAAATGGGCCAGGCCAAAGTGCCACGATTCTTAACTAAGTTAAGAGTTTGATCATGGACAAATGCTGTCATGATCCAAGGTAACGACAAGACTAGGATCCTGCCAGGGGTGGGAAAGACTATCTGGCCTGAGCACCATAGTCTGAGATTGAGATGGCCCTAGGAGAGCAATTCTATAAGTTTAATATATTTCTTACTGCATCCATACAAAATGATTTATATTATATTCTTGTATGCTTGTTGGACAAGGAGAGGAGAGGCACGCCCATGGGATTCTGCTCTAGGGTGGGTCCTCCTGCTGAGGAAGGATCTGTCCTAGGAGCGGTCTTCCCTGAGGCTAAGATTTCTACTCCTATTGATTGCGACCGCACCTAATTGTTTCCCCAATTCCTCACGGAGAGAGGATTTAACTGTACTGTAGGAGCGGGCTGGGGAGAAGGAAGAAGAGAGTTCAGAGAGGATCAGAACCCAGACTCCAGAGAAGGAGGATGAAGGGGAATGGAGAAGGAGAATGAAGTAGCTGGGGGAGGAAGAATGGGGGCAGAGACAGAAGGAGAGATGAGGAGAGAATCAGAATAAACTACGACTAATACCTACCAGCCTGGCCCTCGTTCCTTCCTCTGCCTGACCATCGCCATCGACCTCTCCGGGGTGGGAGAAGGGTGAGACTACGGAACGCAGGCAGCGGGAGAGATGTTGGGTGAGTTGGGCCGCTGAGTTGGGTGCCGTGCCCCCTCTTTGTGTGAGTTTACACACTTTCCTCTTGCTGAGAGGCCAAGTTCACATAAAGGGGGACTTCAGCACCCATTTCCCCAAATGCAAATAAAAACCCAGGTTTTATTTAGAAGATCGTGCAGAGTAATAACTTGGCAGGTGTTACTATGTGGCCTGTACCTGGTACAGGAACAGACTAGCTGGTGTAGCCAGAGGTGGGCAGTCACTGGCTGCATTAACTAGGAATTACTATCAAGGGAGTATCAAGTATCAATTACTATCAATTATTATCAAGCAGGGGAATGGCAGGAGAAATAACTTCTCCAGAAGATTTTTTTGTTACTTCAAATCTCTGCCTGACTGATTCTTCCAACAGGCCATGTGGTAATAACCTTGTGCTCAGAGGCCAGTGGCTACACGATTCTTTTCCATGGATTTGGCCTGGCTCTCGTCACCTCTTCTTGGCACCCAGTTTTTTTTTCCAGAGCATGAAGAAATTTCACTTCCCTGGACTATCTCCTTGGTGCCTGCTCTAGTGGCCAAGGCTACTGATTCCCTCAATCTGAGATCAAGGCCACCGTCTCCCACTTCTCACAGTGCCAGAGGCTTTTCTGCACTCGCCACAATTGAGTCACTTGCCAGAGCAGCCACTGCAAGGGTTCCCACTACTTTCTTCCGACCTGCCCCATTGCCAACTTGCAGACACTCAGTCTTTGTCTCTGTTCTCCTGATACCTATAGTGTTTGATGGCTGATATCACGAGCCTTCAAACGCTGGCTGCATAAACAATCTATTTTTATCTCTATTTTGCTGGTCTACAAAATCTCCTTCTTTAGAAGACTGATATATATGGCACTTTGGATTAAAATTTTCTGCAGAAAAACTGAGTCAAACGATAAGTGACTTAAAACTATAAAATTATTAAAACTGTTACCATTCATGGGCTGGAGCGATAGCACAGAGGACAGGGCGTTTGTCTTGCAAGCAGCCAACATGGCCGACCCAAGTTCAACTCCTTTGCCCCTCTCGGAGAGCCCGGAAAGCTACCGAGAGTATATCACCCGCACGGCAAAGCCTGGCAAGCTACCCGTGACATATTGAATATGCCAAACACAGTAACAAGTGACACAATGGAGATGTTACTGGGCCTGCTTGAGCAAATTGATGAACAATGGGAGGACAGTGACAGTGACAGTTACCATTTCTTGAAATTCAACCTATGATGATTTATTAGTCAGAGCTAACTTTCAAATGACACACAAAATAATTTTCTTTTCACAAAAGAACAAACATTTCTTTTTTTCTTTACTTTTTTTTTTAAATTTTTATTTTTGGGCCACACCCAGCGAGGCTCAGGGTTTATTACTGGCTCTGCACTTATGAATTCCTTCTGACAGTGCTCAGGGGACCTACATGAGATGCTGGGGACAGAACTCAGGTTAGATGCATGCAAGGCAACTTACTCCCTGAACTATATCTCTGCCCAGAATAAACATTTCTAATGAAGAACATACTTCAGAGTATGAAAGTAAATTCCATTAAAAAAATTAATAAATAAAAGCTGAACTCTCATAATGCTTACCAATACTAGCATGGTCAACAATAGTATCGACATCTTGTAGTCCCCATTTCTTATAAGCTAATGGTGGTGGTTGGATATTCTCATTGCCTGATGCTGCAGCTGTTAAAGAGAAAAATTAGATATTTTAAAGTTAACTGTCATGGATAAAGCTTTAACAAAAACTCATTTTAAACTGTAACATGATTCATTACTTTAAGATTCAATGACTAATCAGGAGGCGAGGCAATGTACTAAACAAGGCATAAAGCAACAAATATTCACCTCAAGGCAATGTCCACACAATGCCAACACGGAAAGAGTTAAGCTGGCTTTCACAGGAGGTGTGGGGACACAGAAGTCGAGGAAGACTGTTAAGTCTACACTGTTGCTAAAAATCAAGATGAATTCAAACTACAGTTGAAGCTCAGTAAGCAATTTCTTGTTTTGGTTTTGCTTTGTTTTTGGTCATACCCAGAGATACTCAGAGCTTACTCCTGGCTCTGCACTCAGGGATCACTCCTGGTAGGAACTTGGGGAACCATATGGGATGCCGGGGATCAAACTTGGGTCAGCTGAGTGCAAGGCAAACACCCTTCCCACAGTATTATGGCAGCCCCCACCCTCAACCCCCTCCCCCACAGTAAGCAATTTCTCCTATTGGGACTGACATTTCCCAGGAGCAGCTGCCAGTGGCCCACACAGTGGTAAACTGAAGAGCAGATGGTCCATGACTGGCAGGACTGCAGGCACAGCAAGCTCTCTGGGCCACGTGATGGCCAGGCTGGACAGAACGGTGTTCGCAACAAGTGTGCTGCCTGAGAGAAGGGACAGAATGCCACTACAATGGGAGAGGTGCCACATGCACGCACTTTGGCCCATTGACAGAAAATCCTCAGACTGTACATCAGAATCCTGCTGAATGCTGGTGATGCGCTGGTGAGTGAAAAAAGGCACCAGGATACAGGAGAAATGCAACCTCTGCAGGGGTTTAGATTTCAGAAGGAAGGACAAAGGGAAAAAGATTTCCTTCTGTTGTGAAATGAAAGTCTCAACAATTTGTGGCAAAGTCACCAGGCTTCTTTTCAGACCCTTCAAAATAAGAGGGTACTAAACAGCTTACTACATCTTAGGAGACAAAATAGACTTTACGGTTTTGAAACAAAATAGAAATTCAAAAACAGTAAAAATCTACCAATTGACAATACCAATTACAACATAATATCTACTGCTAGCTCATTTTTGTTGCTAGAACTCTTATATACAAAAACTTCCTAGTTTCTTTGGGTTTATATTTTAATGGGAACTACTTTAGATGCTTCCAAGACGATGGAACTACAGTGCTTAAGTTTAAACAACTTATTGGACTATGGACTAATTTTTAACAGGTATAAAAATTCAAAACAAACTCTAACTTGAGAAAAGCTTGTGATATTAAAAAACACATAACTAAGACTTCAGAATTCTATCACATCACCCTGCCCAAATATGAGCGCAAAATTGTCTACTGCAGCTTAAGGCTGCTGTATCCCACCCCCACCCCCCACTTCCCCAGAAGAAACTGTGCTCTACAGTTTCCCTCTGGGTTCATGAATAACCACTGTGAATTACCCTATAATTTCGGGGAATGTCTATTATTTGTTACTTGTTTGTCTCAGGAACACTATGGCCTCTTTACCCAAACCCAGGGAACAAAGGGAAGTCAGTACGAGAACAGGTACGTATTCTCACTAATTTTAAGGCCTTTCTTCCCCATCTTTAAAGTTGGAATCTACAAGTCAACGATATGTCTTTTACTGGCAGACGTCTTGCTTCTGAGTGGTACAGAAACCAGAAGTGAATCTCACAATCAATGACATCTTGAATTAGATGACCAGCTACAGAATGCATCCTTTTCTGAAGAAAGTAAACTATGGGTTATGCAAGTGAGTCTTGATTTGTGCTGTGAGCATGAACTTGGGCTCAGTGGGGGAGCACTGCTTTGCACACAAGAAGCCCAAGTTTCACTACAAGCACAGTATTGCTCCGTGAGCACCACCAAGTGAGCCCCAGCACAGAACTGAGAGCAGTCTCCACAGGACCAAACCACCACCCCCTACCTCCAACCAAAACCAAAAAATTGACTCATCTCAAACCTGGAAAGAATGCAGTTGCCTGCATACATACATCATGTTTGGGACTCGACCACTTCCCCATCCAAAAGGCTTCCAAGATAATCAAAGGGAGCCAGTGTCAATTCTCAGCAGATCCTGACAACTTGCGTAAAAAAATCTCCCTGCACGTGGCAACATCACTACCCTCGGGGGGGAAGGGAGATGTATGTAGTCACGAGATTCCAGTAGACTGGTCTAACAGTTGATGGCCTAGTGGGAAATTAATTTCTCAGCTAGATATAACTAAATTCCACATGCCAATGTTGGTTTTCATACAATTACAAGTCTAAGCCCATAAAGGCATTCTCCTGAACTAGTGACCAGTCTGTTTTTCCTGCCGGCCACTCTCCAATGCAGACTGAGAAGAGCACAGATGTTTCTCTGGTGCCTATCTTAGCAATCTATCCATCAACATACTCCTAATACTCCAGGCCTGGGCTTTCCCCTTCCATTGTGGCTCGGAAGCTCTGCTTAACTGAGAAGACACACTGAATCAAGTTTTATTTATGTAGGGTAAATCAAAGCAAACATAATGAGAAGTGAAAAAAATTACCTTTTGCTACCTGATTCCGACAAGCACGGAGAGACTGAAAAAGGCTAAATCCATCAATAGTCACAATGGCAGCTGGGTATAAGATACTCAGCTCTTCATTCTATTTGGAGAAATAAGAAGAAATACATTTCAATTTTTCAACGTTGCTATTTTTTCCATGATATCTGAACGTCATTTTAAATTAAAAATAACAAAGCTCGGCCTGAATACCGTCAATCATCCAACACACAAAACAATATGAAGCAGAAGAACTTTAAAAATAAAACGGAAAATTAATCTCAAAATGCCCATTGGCTAAGGACTTAAAATTCTTTTCAAATATGAGCTTTTGCATATGTGAACAATGCCTTCAAGACAGCTGGTGAGATTAACAATAAAAAAATAGACAAGTTTCATACAAATGAGATAAATCATGTGCAAATGTAGAAAATCAAGCAGAAAGGAGAAAAGGAAACTCATCTGAAATTCCACCCATGACCAAAAGCTTCCCTTACAAGTACTAAAACACTTATATGTGAGAAGGTTCACACACACACTATTCTTTTTTTTTCTTTTCTTTTTTTTTTTTTTGAAACAGAAAGGTTTTGGAAAGTAGAAGGGAAGTGGAAGAAAACTCCCCAGCCAAGTGAGGAGGATTCACTACGGGACTGAGTTCAACAGACACTACCCTGCAACCTGCCTTTCCCATCCAGGAAGGCACCTGTGACTGTCTCCATGTCAGTCGGTGAACCTTCTCGTGGGTCCACAGCACTGTGTTACGTGCATCCAGGTCTATCCCCAGCTCTCACTGGCTAGGCGTTACTGAAGTGCCCGGCGTGGCCGCTGCCTTCGCTCCTTTTCCATACAGTCCCCAACCCCACAGGCCGTGGTGCCGTGCGAGATGCGGCAGCTCAGTCCCCAGACTCCCCGCCCAAGCTCTTGAGGGCTCTGCTCTGCTGCTAGAATGACACGCGCAGGCTCCAAGCCCCTGCGCAGCTCGGAAGAGACCCCTCCTGGCCTCACCCTCTTCGCACCTACTCCTCAGAAAGGCTGGCAGCCACCACCTGAGAGCTCAGCATGGGCCTGGACTGGCTCTCCCAGCACTTCCCTGGCCTCACTTCTGACCATCCGGCCTCCGCTCCGATGCACTAACTCAGCAACGCTGCTCCAGAGCCTCAGAGCACTGCTCTATCGTATTCCCCGTGAACTCAGTGCCAGATAGTAAAAGGGGTTAGTCCAGCCTCTTTTGATGGATTAAGTCCTTCTGGGGTCCCGGCAATCACAGAGCATGCCAATTAAGCCCACAAAACATCCATACACAGATACCACTGCTGACTTGAAAGGTCTTGGGGACCAGGTGATAGGAAGGAACAGGGCACGGGCCGTAGTTCTGACCATGCACACACGGTGAGCCAAATAAAACCCGACTGTTTATGTGGCTCCAAATTACAGAAACCTCATACAGCAAAGGGAAGAACTGCAAACTACTCATGGAGCATCTGAGATATTAAAGACCAGCATTTTCTTCAAGTCTTTGGGAGGGATCTCCTGAGCAGTGCTAAGGGAACCCTGGGGTCACTCCCAGGGACATTAGGCTGAGCTGTGTGGAACCAATGGCCCCATGCTGGGCCTGGCAATGCGGTACTGCTCAAGGCCAGGGCTCCCCACAGCAGTTCTCCGAGGGCCACAGCACACTGGGAACAAACTCAGGACAGCACGTGTGCCAGGCATGAGGCATGTCTTCGGCCTTTCAAAATCATCAGTGACCCCAGCACTATCAAACCCAAACTCAAACAGAGCAACGGCCAAGCCCTGCAGGGTGACCCTGAGTACCCCAGGAATCAGGGCCTGGGCCACACCACAGCCTCGGGCCACACATTGAGCCACTAACCTTGTTCGTCAAGAGTCACTGAGAGGCACCCCTGCATACCACACACAAAGACACCCCAAACAGAAAAAGAGCTGAAAGATAAGACAGCTGATGAAACAGGTGATTCAGATAGTGGCTTGCATGCGAGTGACCCCAGTGTGATCCCCAGCTCTGCGAAGGGTCCCCGGAGCACCGCCAGGAGCCACACATAGTCTACAGCACTGCCAGGTAATGCTGCCCCCATAAAAATAACAAAATCTTTAGTGAATGTAAAGTATCTTCCATTATAAACAAAACCACCCCGTGTCTGAGAAATATGAAGCATAATGTAGTCAACATACTACTAGTTACATTACCAATGCTTTCTTTCCTTTTACTGTACAAGTTATTTAATAATTTGGCCTTGTGGGGCTGGAGCAATAGCACAGTGTCTGCCTTGTATGCAGTCGACCTGGGTTCGATTCCCAGCATCCTATATGGGCCCCTGAGCACCACTTGGGGTAATTCCTGAGTGCAGAGCCAGGAGTAACCCCTGTGTATCGATGGGTATGACCCAAAATAATAATAACAATGATAATGATAATAAGACCTTGGGCTGGAGCGATAGCACAGCAGTAGGGCGTTTGCCTTGTGTGCAACCAGCCCAGCCGAGTCGGGTTTGGTTCCTCCGCCCCTCTCGGAGAGCCCAGCAAGCTACCGAGAGTATCTCGCCCGCATGGCAAAGCCTGGCAAGCTACCCGTGACATATTTGATATGCCAAATACAGTAACAAGTCTCAAAATGGAGACATTAGTGGGCCCGCTCGAGCAAACTGATGAACAACAGGAGGTCCGTGACAGTGAATAAGGCCTTGTGACTATTCCAAAACTGAGAGTCATTTTGGCTTCTCACTGAAGTATTTTGCTATAAAACAAAACCTAACACTACTTCATTAAACAAGTCGTGTTTATACTTCATTATACAAGCAGGACTGGGCCCTCCACTCAGCCATCAACAGGGCATGTTCTGGAACACGCAGCTGTGCAGCAGCCCAGGGATCTGGAGGTATCTCGGCAGTGACGAGGGAAGCCGCGGTTGCAGGGCGGGCTGTACCTGCTCGGTGACGCCGGGGTGCCGTGGGATCTCGTAGGTCCTGCACTTGAGCTGCAGCACTGGGTCCTCATTCAGCAGCTGCGCCAGCAGGAGCACGCCGCTCTGCAGGAAGCGAAGACAGAGCCTTTGTGTCCTGCCCCGCTCCCCAGAGTCCCTCAAAGGGTTCCCAGGATTCCCCCTTTTGGGGAACACAGCGCCACTTCATTACAGAAGCCCCTCCACCCATGTCCCCATCTTCTAAAGTGTCAACTCCCCGTTCCCAAGCCCCAAACAAGAAGAAGGGGCACTGTGGGCAAGCAGGACCCTCACCTCAGTGTAGAAGCGCACGTAGCCTGAGGTGAAGCCCACCACGATGCAGGTCCAGTCAGGGCGCCCCGTGGAGCTCCTGGGATGGGCAAAGCTGATGAGACCCCCAGGTAAACCAAGCAGGGCAAAGCGAGCAGACGCCCACCCGTCACCCCTTACCTCTTCTGGCTGGCTAGCGGGATACAGAGAGCGCTGGTGACACATTCCCTGAAAGACAAGTTCAAGCCTCATGCTTATCTCATGAACCTGTCACCCAGATCATCATCTCTAGAGCTGAGGTTACCAGGCAGTGGGCACAGGAGCTCTAAGGGACCACTTACTGGGACAACTGAGTTTCAGAAACAGTATCTATTTGGGGGAGGGGGGAGGAGAGGAGAGTAAGCAACACTGGTGATGCTCAGAGCTTACTCCTGGCTCTGCACTCAGGGATCACTCCTGGCAGTGCTCAGGGAACCATATAGGATGCCGAAGATCAAACCTGGGTCGCCTACGCACAAGACAAAAGCCCTATCTGCTGTACTGCCCAAGAAACAGTGCTCTGCGGTCTGTGAAAGGCAGGTATGTGAAGGGCTGGGAATTCTCTGGGACCACACGGAAGTGACTGTGTCAGAGGGAACTGCCCATCGCCCTCCTCAGGTGCTGTGTCAGTGGGAACAGGCAGGAGGTGCACATCAGGGGGGTATTCTGAGGACTCTTTCTGCTTCAGTTGGTTGGAGATTTATTTCAGATGTGACAGAAGAAAGTTGCCCCCATATAACCTATTTCTCGGTACACGCTTGGCTGGGTATTCCTTAAAATAGTTTTCCTGACACTCAGACTTGGAAACTTCCTGAGCAGCTCAGGGCCTCATAACTGAAATGACACCTAGGACTGTTTCATAACCTGCCAATTTCAGGACCAGCCTATTTAAACATTCTCATTAAACATTCTTGGCCCATACACCGTAACTGACAATCACTAAACAAAATCAATGTTTTTGTTTGTTATCTTTGTACCTCGATGTTTTTGTTCTACATTTCTGGAAACAATCAAATGTCTTCCAGAAGCTTATATGAAAGGAACTGAGAAATACCATTTATTTTCATAAAACAGGAAACACGCACATGAAGCATCTACAGTGCACTTTGCATGTGCGAGGGCTTCCACATGCTTGTCCTTCACCTTAGCAGAGGAGCTGTCCTCAGTCACTGGATCAGCTACTTTCAGGCATAAAGATTTAGCCAGAAACAGTTCAGGGGCTCCTGTTTCCAGGCTCACAGCCCCATCAAGTGACCCTGGGACAGACTTAAAACTCCCACTGATCAGCAGAAAACCTGAATTTACCAACTTCCATTGCTCAAGTGCTTCCGAGCCATAAAGCCTGAGATACCAACTACAAGCCCAATACTCATTAGGCAGAGAAGACAATGCTCTTAAAACTCTATGGCTGAGTCCTGGCCAACAGATGAAAAGACAAGAGGCCTGAGATTACTCGGGAATTCTCTCTGTAATCTTTTAAAATCTTCCAGGGCTGGGGTGAAGGGCTAAAGCACAGTCTGCCTAGGGACGCCCCCGGCCTGAGTCCCAGCACAGTATAAGCAACACTGTGCCCCCCACCAAAAAGATTTTCTCCCAAAAAGGGTGGTGTTTGTTTAGCAATCACATCATGATGAAAAAGCTAAATTTGATGAATGAATCAAGCTCTATAACCTCTAAAGTTGGGATCACTTTATCACTCTCATGCCATTATTCATCAATTTGCTCGAGCGGGCACCAGTAACGTCTGTATTCGTCCTAACCCTGAGATTTTAGCAGCCTCTCCTTACTCATCCTTCTCAACAGTGCCTTATTGGAGGCTCTTTCAGGGTCAGGGGAATGAGACACATCATTGTTACTGTTTTTAGCATACCACATATGCCACGGGAGCTTGCCAGGCTCTGCCATGCAGGCAGGATACTCTCAGTAGCTTGCCGGCTCTCCGAGAAGAAGACCTAGACTATAAAAGCATGCACGGCCTCGTACTTCCAGGAGCTTTGTTTTATAGTCTCTGGATCTTGGCTGTTGATGGGATTTCACGGCACCAGGGGTAGTTTGTGAGTATAACTGCCTAGCTACTAGAAAAGTTGGGATGAATATATTTATTAAATAATAAAATTTCTTAATAGATTCACTTATGAGTTAAACAATTTCACACATGTATTTAACACACAGATAAAATATTAACTGGTTGGGACTGGGGAGACAGTACAAAGGGTAGGGCATTTGCCTTGCACGTGGCTGACCCAAACTGGATCCCTAAAATCCCATATGGTTTCCAAGGCCCACCAGAAGTGACCAGAGTTCACAGCCCTTAGTGAGCCCTGCGCACCACTCAGTGTGGTGCAAACACCAAGAATATATAACCAAGTATATAAACATACTGATACATACCCGTCTTCAACATTTAAAGAACCACTCCAACCAACAGCAAATTGCATTTCTTCCTTTCCTTTATCACTATGTTTCCATTTTGCTGAAACACATTTAAGACACAAAAAAATCTTCATCTTATACTAAAGGTGACTTGTAAATTTCACTCTCTTTTTAGAATGAACTATGCAAAATTTAAGTTTTTATGTTATTTGATTTTAATAGGTAAACATAGTGTTTAAAAATTTTCACAGTTTTATAAAACTACTTAGTCTCATGATCTTCAAGCTCTCCTTCCTCCAATTAAACCAGTTATTAATTTGTACTCCCATCACCTGTCCTATTTATAAAGGACTTTTCATTTCAGATGGTGGAGAAATTTTCCCATTAGATTTATAAGACCATTTCGGAATCATGTGAAATGTAATCTCACTTAGCTTTTCATAGTCCACAGATACTTAAACCTTAATTCTAAAATTATCAATAAGAAGTATGTGCTGAGCATATCTGCCCAAATCAACGGGAACTACAGAGAGCAAGCTGCAACCCACAGCTGCACATGCTCCTCACTCATGGTGTCACTGAAATGGGGCTTAGTCACCAGGCCACCTTCTGAGCAGATGGCAGGAACTGGGCCCCGGCCAGCACTCCTCAGAGGGCCCCTGCAGAGACGTGTCCAGCTAAGAAAGGAACACAGACAGACACGGAAAACACAGACGAGACAAAGGACAGGGTGAGAGAAAAAAAAAAAAACGACACAAGCAAGAAGAAGTGCTAGACGAAGTGCTAGACAAACCAGACAGGCCGGTCACACACAGGACACGGGTATCTCTCCAGTCACACACATTTTTTTTTAAATTTATTTAATGCATTAAAATTGAGGCCACTAAAAATAACTGAGCACTTACGCACGAGAAATACAGCTTTCTGTTCCCGAGCTATGACCATAAGATCGTTGGTTGGCGATAATGACAAAACACAATCTTGAAGCCAGGAAGTTTTTTGTGTTTTGGAGGCATTTCCTTCTTCTTCCTGTGGGAAAAATGACAGATACTGGGGATTCCAAAATAATGAGCATATTTCAATTCATTGTGCCCCCTTGAAGGGCATGGAAGGAAGAAACAGGAAAAAGAAACCTTCCTGGTTATTTTTTTATTAAAATTGTCAATAATGTTTCTTATCAAAATATGGCAATGATGACCAACACAGAAAAAGTCTGCTACAAACAAAAAGAATACACGAATGCTAGCAGAAATAAATCTAAAGGAGAATGACATTCAAAAACTGTCCCCCGGGGGTATGGTGCCACCAGCAGGTCAATCTGTACCTGTGAGGCAAGTGCAGCAGCAGCCTGATGGCGCCTTCAGACTTCCAGATACCCCAAAATTGCTTCTGTGCCTTTGGCCAGACACCAAAAACTTGGGGCAAAGTTTACGAAGAAAGTAAACGGCCAGAAGTCAGGAATGTGGGAAACACACCCACAAACCACCTCTGGCTCAGCTATATAATTGGAAGCAAGGCCTCTCTGGTTCCTGATTGAACTGCTTAATGGCCATGATCCCAGAGAATCAGAAACAAATCTCGAAACCCAGCAGCTTTTGGCAGAAATGTGTCCAGTCCCTGCAGTACGTTGCCAGTGCTAGGCCACCTCAGGTGGGAATAGGTTTCGTGCCTTGGCCTGTTCCCCCTGGCAGCCCAGTGGCCACCATCCTCCAGAGGCCACTGGACAGTCAGGTTTGGGCCTGCAGTGACGAGACATTTTGGGCCTCACGGGATGGGGGTGGAGCCGATCCTGTCCTCCCCACCCCAACAAGACCCCAAGTCATCGCCCACGAACGGCCTCTCTGGCTCCTGATCAAGCTGCTTAACGGCCATGATCCCAGAGACTCACGAGCAAATCTCGGAACCCAGCAGGTTTTGGCAGAAATTCCCCCCAGATTTAATTGTTAAAATTTTGAAATTTCAAAATTGCTCAGTCACTACTGCAGCCACGTGACATATGTTATTCATAACTAGCAATAGAAAACAAATTGTCTACTGTTGCCTTTTAAGCAGAGCTGAGTGTTGGGGTAAAATCTCAAATAATAACGGTGGGTCTGGTGTCAAAATATTGAATGTGATCAAAGTAGAGAGTGAGTAATGTGGAAATCATCTGCCCCACAGGTAGGGGGAGGGTGTTGGATGGGGGTGTACTGGGGTTGTTGGGGGTAGAGAATGGACACTGGTGAAGGTACGGGTGTTTCATTGTATGACTGAGACTTAGACCCGAAAGCTTTATAACTGCTCTCACAGTGATTCAATAAATAAAATTATAAAAAATGAAAAAAAAAGTAAGGAGGAGTTCATGCACAATTCAATCAGCTAATCAGTGGCTGAATAAACAGCAGTACTCCTACATAAAAAATAAATAAATAAATAAACCAAAGACTGTCCCCCAGGGAGAGCTGGGATTAGGAGGTGCTGCCAACAGTCTCTGTCAGAGATACAAGTAAGATACCTGCCACTCGGAGCAAAGGAAATAGTGTCCCATGGTGAGGGTTGCAGATTCTACCAGATTATGTGACAGGTTTTTATTCGAGGCGATAGGTCTTTTCCCCTAAAATTAAAAATGTATGAGATATAAAGGGAAATCTCAAAGGTTAAACATTTAATGCTTTAGGCTGGAGAGATAGCACAGAGGGTAGGGGTGTTTGCCTTGCACATGGCCAATCTGGGTTCGATTCCTAGCATCCCATATGGCCCCCTGAACACTGCCAGGAGTAATTCCTGAGTGCAAAGCCAGGAGTAACCCCTGTGTGCATTGCCGAGTGTGACTGAAAAAGCGAAAAAAAAAAAAAATTAATGTCTCTCTAAAGGTCTCTGAATAAGGACCTTTCCTGCTGGAGTGATAGTACAGCAGGTAGGGCACTCGCCTTGCACGCAGCCAACCGGGGTTCGATTCCCAGCATCACAGCCAGGAGTAATTCTTGAGTGCATGAGCCTGTGCATTGCCGGTAAAAAATTAAAAAAAAAAATTAAAAAAAAAAAGAAGAAGAAGAAAACAAGAAACGGCCTCTCCTGCTTGGGCCCTGGTGGCTCCCAATGTCCACTGTGCAGCTAATGTTGAAGATGACCTGGTGCGCAAGTATGGGCAGGCCGTGCAGACATGCTGCCCGCCTCCCTATGCGCAGGCCTTGGAACAGATTGTATGTTTTTCAATTGGAAGGGAAAAAAGGTTTTAATTCATTAAAAAAAACTGCAGTGCTAGGGGTTCAAGAGAATGTGATCAAGGTCTCGGAATTGCGTGGTCATGACCCACAATCTTCTTCCACACACAGCCCTCACAGGATTACTCAGTCCTGCCAAGAAATGGGAGGAACCAACCCAAAGCCCACAGGCTCCATAGAAAGGGAAAGCAAGGGGCTGGGGCGAAGGTTCAGCAGGTACGGCGTCTGCCCTGTATGGTCCCCTGAGTGATTCCTGAGTGCAAAGCCAGGAATACCCTGAGTATCACAAGGAGTGACCCAAAAAGGAAAAAAAAAAGGAAAGCAAGATCTGGGAAGAATGAGGGGCACATGATGGCCACAGAAACAACACGGAACACAAGGGATAGAACGGACGGGCTTGCATCTACATCTGCCTCGGGCCCCAGGAGCTCTCGCTACTCACCTCACAAAGCAAGGAGCAGGATAGAGACACCACTAAGGGGCGCTAGCGGCGAGGCTGTGGTGCCCAGACCCACCCCGGGCGCCCTCCCTCTGCTCTACCACAGCAACTGTGTCAGGAGAGAGGAAAGGGGAAAGCAAGGGGTCCCGCCCCGCACATGCTGATGTGCTGACGGAGCATCGGTCACAGGGCAGTCTCCAGTCCCAGCCAGGAGCAGGCCGCTGGGAGCTCGCCTCCCTCCGAAACTATCTCCCCAGCTGAGAAGCTGCCAGCCAGTCATGCCCACAGGAGCGAGGCAAAGGAGTGGATGGTCCCCCAGGGCAGATCCTGGACCGCCCCCCTCCCCCCGGGTCCTATTATCCAGAAACTCTGGGCCCAACATGCTCACACACAGTGAGGGACAGGGCAAGGGGAGGCAGATGCCACAGCTGCGGCTGGGCATGAGTCTCGGCACGGGACCCTCAGCAGTGGGGCCTGGGCCGGCTCTGCAGACATGCAGCTGCCTTTTGGTCCCCCCCCCCCCCCGCCCCCCTGCCCCAAGCTTTAAGAAAGACATTGACAAGCAGCAATAAAAACGATTTTAACTTCGCAACTGATTTCAGATTCTTGTTCCATCCCCCTCCACTCCTCCCAGAAAAATACACAATATATTGTGTCCAATACTACCTCTCTGTCTGCAACCTGGTTACCCACTTCAATCTCTGCTTCATACGGGGTTGCTGAGGTGACAGTAACCTCAGTGGGTGCATCTCAGAGAGGGAACACACGGGACCACACCGCTGTGGGTAGGGATTCTGGCTCCAGCTCTGCAGCCCGGAGGGGGGGATGTGGCCTGTCCCTCCCACGGCCACTGTCCCCAGAGACCGCTGCAAACCCACTGGGCACGGCCGCTCTGGGCGTGGGCAGCTATGCTCAAGACGGCAGGTGGGCGAACGCAGAGCAGAAGCCAGAACATGGCTGTGGGGCTCTGGAAGTGGTGGGAGCCAGATGGTCGAGGGGAGCCTCAGATCCAAGCACAGGGAACTGGATCAAAGGATTGAACAAAGCCTTTCCGCCCCAGGAACCAACACAAGGTTTGACAACGAACCCTTCACTTCCAGCTAAACTCTAGAAGTACTTAGGCTGAAAAAAGTGGGCTTGAAGACGTCAAAGAGTTAAAAAGATCAGCACATTATTCTGCAAACTCATTATTCAGTCTTGGAACTTAAGGGCACTTGCTACCAATTAGGTTTTCTGGAAGCTTCTCCCACAGTAAAAGGCCCTATCTGCTAATGCCTCTCCCTGGAAGCTACCGGTGTGAAATCAACACTAACATTTGACAGGGTAGTTAATTTCCCAAGTGAGGCATGAAATTAAAACAAAAACAAAAATAGCACCACCAGGGATTTACCTTGACTTTTCACAAAATCTAGCATCTACCCAGTTACAAAAGCTAACAGTAAATGCACTCCTTAGCTACAGAACAGAATCTGGGGCTAAAGGGTTGTTTTTCACTTTCAGTTTTTGGTGGGGAGTGGGAAGGGAGGAGAGGTTGGGGAGAAAGAAAGAAATTTTTATTTTAGCCTGGCCTTTTTCTCTGAATTGATGCTTTGGTAAAAGTCCGTCTTAATCCATACCAATATAGAAGCGGCAATGGGGATCTGTGAAATGTAATTCTACACAACTGAGACTAGAGCATATTTTTAAAAATTCCTTTCTTCTAATTTAAACCCAGGAATTGGTCAAGTAATGATTCTTTCACAATGTAGTAGACTGCGGAACTGCAGTAATTTAATCATCTTTCATTTAATCACCAGCCGCTGCTGGTAATGTTCACTCTGCACCAGGCAGCAGGCAGACACTTTTCTTGGTGTGACCTTCAGTGGGGACCAGACAGCCAAGATGCGCGGCAAGAGCTCTGCTTTCCAGTTTAGTCTTAAGAAGGCCTCTTTTGCAGCTTACTCTGTTCTGGTACTGACCTTCCCGAGAATCCAGACACGACAGTGCTAACAGTAAAGACCAGTATGAGTAAGGGGCTGCCGGCCCTCCTGGTGGTTTTCAGTGGCCTGCCACCAAAGTCACAGAAACGAAAGTGTCCAGCCAGAGCTTCACAAGTGAGCACACCACCCTCAAATGCTTCTTTTTTATTTTTTCCCAGCTGTTTAGGAACTGCCAATGCTTCTCAAACTTTTCTCTGAGTGGCTGCATTTATTATTCCCAGACAACGTTTTATACAAAAATTCAATATACCTGAGGGATGCAGATAGAGGTGAGCAGAGGGTGGGCTCCCGGCAGAACCCGGAGATGAATCCAGCAGCATGAAGAGTTCTGTCTGCGCCATTTTCCCAGTTAGAGACAAAAATACTCAAAGAACTTAAAGTCTTTCCAAAATTAATATGGGGCGAGGC